CTCGAACTTGTACGCCAATCGAACACACGGCTTCCAAAACACGGCTTCCAAAACACCACAAATCCATTTTTTAGACAAATCCAAAATTAGACGCGAATATTCAGTTGTATTTCAATCCGACGACACCAAAGACATTTCTTATCACTTGGTTATTAGTTCGATAACGTGTCGAGGATCGATCGCGATTGTAAAAGATGGTTCCATCGTAAATTTTACGTCCATCGACGACGCGTATACGACTTTTGAATATATGCATAGAAATATTCGCATCAAATCCGAGGTTTATTATCCGGAAGTGACCGGAATACGGAATATTCGGATAATCATAAAATTATCTTCGAACAGTTGATCCATATACACAGTGATTTTAGAAACTGGAACAAGCTCTAACTATTTTCCAAGGAAAAATACGAAAATTTCATGGAGGATAAAGTTTAATTCCTCTTGCAAGGTCATTTTGTAATGACAAACTTAATTTTGTTATACAGCGTGACTGTATGAAAATATAAATAGAATGCAAATAATTCTTACGGGTGAATATGTATGAAATTTGTTGGCGATATAATAATATTTGCAAAAAATGAATAAAGAGGAGGTATGCAAAGTATAGCTGGTCGCGTAACTTACTTTTCCACTCGTAAAAACGATTTCGTTCGTTGTTCCAGTGGAAACATTGAATCATCCCACGGACACGGATATACTGTACACTTCGTAGCTATTTCTCAACGTGATGGTTGCACATGCATCCTTTATTTTCCCAGGTACATGCACCGACATACCCACCTACTGTGGATCAAGGACGACGCATTGCACGTTCACCTGCATACTTATCCGCGATTTTAAAACCCCGGCGAAGATTTCGCACGTCGGTGTAACGAACTTTTATTGATTGGCTGGCAACCTTAACACTTTCGCGTGATGCAATTCGACTCTCTCGTAACGAGGGGATTATTGCCTACGATGATTAAAACCATGCTCTGCCATTAAAAGAAATAACAGCACGCGTAACTCCTTCGAAATCGATTTTTCGATCGCGAAGGAAGAAACCACGAGTATAAAATTGTTTCATGTAACCTTTTGCAATTCCGAGTCCATACTTCGTGAAAGTTCATTCAACGTCGACGGATTCCTCTCAGCTTTCTCTATTTTTCTCTCGATTCGAAATCCTCGTCAAATTGCGAAAAAATGTATGCGTAGAAAACAAACTGACCAGTTTTTAATACACGGTATAGTTTTAGTAATGAATTTTGTTCTCAAAAGTGCGCCGGATTTCGAGGGTGTGAGTTTGCAACAAAAATGATTGCAATTGACCCCCGCAACCAAAAATAAGTTTTTTAATGTAATTTAAAGTTTTTTAATTTCATTTTTTCTTTTAAATTTAAAGCTTTTTTATATATCAATCTACAAGGAATATAGTGTAATAAAATAAATTATTTTTCAGAGAAAATATGAACATTCTAATGAATTGAGTCTATGTTGTTGTAGTTTATGAAGATAGAAAAATAGAATTTTAAATTAATATAATGACATATTTATAAAAATCAGTCTATTCTAGAATATTTTACATTTATTTCACGTGCATATATCACAATTATTATAAAGATTGAATCGATATTTTTTTTAATGCCACGGTGGTTCTTAAAATCGTGTCACCATAACGTTTCTTAAATCGTACCACTACGATCATAAACCATCGTCATTTCTCCCCATAAAGAAGGCTGGATTTACTTCCTCTGCAATGAAGCAAGTACAGAAAACATGATACAGTGCATAAAATATGCATTATGTGTTCACGAAAGTTATTGTCCCCACTGTAACATACACAGTGATCATAAACATGTTATTTAATCATTGTTAACGTATACCGTGCGTTTTCTGTTTCATATAAATAAAATATGTTAACGTTAACACAAACATACGTTACTTATTTGTTATTATATATATTGGATATATTAGGAAACTTACTCTGCCATTTTAAATTGTATTTTATAAAAGATTACCCTTTCTTTTTAATATAGAACAATCTATCGTATTGTTTTTATAAAACCAATACGATGTGCGTCAATAATTCCAAAAATACCAAATCGTATAATTAAGGAAAAAGTAACATCTTTAAAATTGAGAGTAAGTTTTAATAGCCTGCTTACTTTAAGGCGTATCCAAAAAAGTCTGTATAACGTGTAAATCGATTGATTTGAACAGTTCTAAAGCAACAAATTGGAGTCTAAAATGAAGTGTACGATGGTAGCCATGCGAAATGCAATTAATTAAATAAATTTTGTTCGAGGAGGAAACATTGTCGACGCGAGACGGAAGAAAAATCATTCCGAAAAGGCGAGCTGTCTTGCAGGAAGTATCGAGGCCCCTTAACGGGATCCTCCCATTGGCCATCCACCATAAATTATACATTATATCGTGTAAGAGACGGCCCACGTGGCGGCGAATCGTAGAGTGCAATGATGCGTTTTTTTTTGGTCGACATAATAATTTATGATCCGCCGTAATGCAGTCGAATATCGATTCCCAGTCGTGAAAACATTTAATTGTAATACGATATTACCATTATAATTTCTGCACGCTATATTTCAAGCACCCACGTATTGTGTACACACATTTTGATCTCGTTTATCGATGTATTAGACGCCTCTTTTAAAAACTCAATAGATCAAAACATTTTTACTTTACGTTCCAACATTTCTTTTTATACAATTTAATTACTTGTATAAACAAGCATGTTTCGAATACTGAAGAGGACCAAAAGTAAAAGTCAACACGTAGGATTATATTTATTGTAATATTTGTTTTACATTTAGGTACAAATTGTCTACGAATTCAGTAGAATTGATTGATTACAGTATCTGATCGACAAGCCTACCGGTTTATATTACCACCTGGTTCGTTAGGCGAGCAAGTTGCAATAAACGTAATGTTTGATTTATAATTGAATTGATACGGCATATTAATTGCATCGTGTAAAAATAAATAAACAAACGAAAATGTACGTTGGTTCTATAGAGACGGAGCTAATAAAGGGCGGATGTCACTAATTATGAAAGATGATATCTGGCAAAACCAATAGACGGTACTCGCTTTACGATCGTGAAATTAACTGTTTTTTCTTTTCAAAAAAAAAAAACGCTGATGTTAACGTTTATGACGCTAATTACGATGATAAACCGAAGCGCTCCGTTGAAAACTTCATCGGGCTGCAATCTCAATTTATTATCACTTCTTCTTACATCGTCAGAGTGACGCAAATACGTTCATTATAAATTGTTACACAATGCGGCATTAAATTAAATGTATCGCCATCATAACTTTCAACTCGGGCAATCAACTTTGTTCTTAACTGCATTTATTATATCTCATCGCTGATAACGGTATATATACATCACATTTCCTTCCTCTGTTTAGTACGTTGTAACTTGCTAATCGTTACATTAATTCGCAACATAGGATCGTATCAATTTAATTTAAAAGGCAGAGTGGAAGTCATAACCGTAGAATATAAACAATTAATTAGGTATGCAAATTGTTTTCAAAAATTGATTTCGTATTTTATTGGAAATTTGGATTTGTATGGCAACCTAATAGGAAGTTACGACATTGGTGAAAATTGAGAGTTAGGTATTCTGTTTTCCTTAAAAAGTAAATTACATTTTATACAAAATGGAGTATCGTTTCGAAAGTAACAATATTCTTACATTTAATGTGCGCGCTGTAATGCTATCTATTTTTTCATGAGGCATTAAAAGAAGAAAGGCATTTGTAAAACTTATAATTACTCGTAACTGAATGTTATGGATCTATAACGTAAACTAGTATGAAAAACGACAAGACGACATATTAATATTATTACATTTTTATGCAAGTATACACCATAAACGTATGAACTCTGCAATTCATTTATAACTTAGTGGAAACTATTATTTACTTTTATAACCATAGTAATTCTAATAATATAGAATTAATTTATATTTTATTGGTGCTCAGATATTACCAATTGCCAATTCATGAACCAGAAATTTCACTGTTTAAGGGTCGCTTTTAAAAGAAACATTGGCTCCATTTTCCACCATGCAAATAACAGAGGAAACATTTGTTAAATGCTGAAACGTTCGTTCGATTATCCACTTTATTTTTTCTGGAAACAATTCTCAAAAATTACCTGTTTGAAATTTCCCGTTAACGCGCGAGTTTCGAAACGCGTGTCGCTGATTCGTCGCCGTACAATAAGAAAATCGTAGAAGGAAAGCTGACCCCGAAGAGTTACCCGATAACGGTGCAGGATCGTAGAACACGATTTGCCGATAGATCAGAATGGATGCAATAAATTTTTCGAATGCGTTTCGTGGCCTTCGTTAGGAGTAATTTATGTACGGTTTAGAGAACGACTTCTACGTAGGAGTATATAGCTGGCGTGTCTTCGGACTGCTTGTTTGAAAACTTTTGCATCGGGAACACGCGTCATAAAGTCGCCGGTGGTTTCTGCAAAAGCGATTGTGCAAAATTGCGGGCAATAACTGGCAGCGTCGGAACCATTAAATCGTAAAAACTGACGCCGCGAAATTATTGCCGCGATCCTCTTGCCAGATGTTTGAGTTTTTCATCGCGTGAACGCGACAACGTTTGAGCCTGTTTACGATCTTAAATTTTGCGCGACTATTCGGTTACATTCTACCCCGTTATTACCACTGTGAATTAATTATCCAAGTTATTAGAGAAATCATTCTTCCGTAGAGACAGTTTATGGAATATCGAACTTCTATACCCACAAAAATGGATGTTGATAAAGTAAGTTTACAATTATAAATCTGAAATACTCTGAATGGACTTTAAGTTCCAAACTCAGAACTTATTGTTATTAAAATTTCTCGAATGCTCCCATTACCCATTTCTTTTAATTTCCTAATGAAAAAAGATTAACGTTACGACTGCTACCAAGACATTAGATTTTACATACATTTTTTATTTAATGAATAGATATACTTTAACAGCGGAATATTTAAGTATCTATTCGTTACAGAATGTTATTATTTATTTTGCTGTGCTACGCCCAGCAAGAAGCATTACTTTGTCTTATTAATGACTAGCTCGACGGTATTAAATCTAGCTGAACAGACTTCTGTTATACAAGAAGACACTTCACTTACTGAACTTTCTCGAAGGAAAAATTGAAGTTCGCGGAACTTACAGAGAATAATCACGCTTTTCAGATTTACTTTTCCCCCTGTTGGAAAACATAAGAGGCGGTATTTTGTTGTTACAGTTGTTAGTTCCACTTGACAGAGACATATTTTTGTTGCTTGTCGTCGTGGATAATTGCGAATCTGTAACAAATCGTAACGAGAAAAATATATTTGAAACAACGATTGTTTCGAATAAGAAAATTATTTCTGTCACTTTGAATACCGTTGCGGGAAATAAAAGAATGAAATAATTGTTTCGAATAGTTTTTCTTATTTCCATTTCAAATATAATTCGCCCAGTGTATGGTTATACACCTTTACAACTTCCACAATTTTTCCAATTCCAAAAGTCAAATAGAAAATAAACGTTTTCGAGTTTTTCTGATAAATGTTTGTTAAAGTGCCCTTTTCATTCGTGTATCGAGCCCTCTTCAGAATCTGTAACTGAATCTTTAAACAATCTATTAATCGTCTGAATATAGAACATAAATTTAATAAATGCTTGTTATTATAAACTGTATATTGGTCTTTAAAATTTCAAATTGAGGATTGTATCGTAGGGAAAAATATTTTAATTCTCAATTCAATGGAATTAGAATGATATAGAAAGACATGTACCTTCGGCAGAACTTTTTCGTGCTACGTAACTACGCACTTTGCCAAACCAACCGCCGCTCAGTCTTTCTCGAAATTTTGGCGTGGTAAAAGTATACAGAAGTGGGTTAATTGCACTGTTTACGGGGAGAATAAAAACCACCACCCAGGCATGAACATCAGCTAAAAAGAGCAGTTAGTACATTACGAGAGAAATAAAAGTTTAATATATGAATATGTATTATTATTCGGTAACTTTGGGAGTATTTTTTATATTTCTTAAACTTCTTTCTTAGGTAAAAAATTTGTAAAACGTTAAACAGAGCAGAATTGTTATTTCAGCTATCTTTTATATCCTTTGTTAAAATTTTGTTAAACGATATTTGACTTACAAATGGATATTTGAATTTATAGAAATATTTTAACCCTTGTTGCTCACCTGGAATAGGAAAGTTCATCAGAGCTCTAATTTTGAGAATGATAATCGGTGCCCAGCAAGCAGCGTCCGTTAACACTATGAAGAAAAACCTTAAAGCGAATTCAGATTCACCGACAGAGAGCGAGCAGGCGTGTCTTGTTTTCCAAATGCTCGCAAACATCCCCGCGTAAACGTAACCAATCGTTAATAATCTGTAATACAAGGCAACGTGAACGTTGTGAAATTTGAAATTGTTACGTGTTGCACTTGCAAAATGTCTATACTTTTTTTTTTGCTAATCCTCTCTCTTACCCAAAGAGATTTAATCCCAAGAAAATGAAGACCGAATACTCCCATCCAATTAAATACGGATCATCGATGTGCAAAGGGAAACACATTCCGTTAACGCCGTAAAATCTCGTGCTGCTTCGCCAGTGAATAACTTTCAAATAATTTACAATTATTTTCAAGATAGTAATATTCGCAAAGTGCTTGTAAACAAAGCTATAGAAATCATGCTGACATCGCAAAATATATCCAAAGCATGCCAAGAAGGATTAAAACTGTAATTTACACCAAGAAATGTACAAATTTACAAATACTAATTTCTGCAAATATTAGATTTGAAATTAAAAACTTTCAGATCATGCTGAAAAAATTATGTTTGGTTGCGGGGGTCAATTACAATCATTTTTGGTCAATACACATATTCCCGAAATCCTACGCGCTTTCGAGGAAAAAATTCATTACCGAAAATATAATTTCTGGGCAGAAATGTCTGCATTAAGTTTCAGGCGAATCTTTAAAACATCATAACTTCTGAACGGATTGAAGGATTTTAATGTTTCAAAATGCAAACGACGCGTATTTTAGTGTAGAATATGTAGAAATTCTAAAAATATTGGAAAAGTTGTTCCTTGACCCCGTGAAGTGAAAAAACCCCCATAAAAGTGGTCGAATTTTCAAACAGCCATAACTCCTACAATAATGAATATATTTCAATGAAACTTTTTTCTGAAGTAGAGCTCATGGGTACCTATAAAAAAGTATTAGACAATATTTCCGTACAGTGCGAATCAAATTTATTAAAAATCAGAAACGAAGTTTTAAGAAAAATCGACAGGGTAGGCTACATTTTTCGGCGAAATTGAAAAGTTTCAAATCATTCTGAAAAAATTATTTTCAGTTGTGAGGGTCAATTACAATCATGTTTGGTAAATAGACATACACCCGAATTCCTACACACTTTCGAGAAAAAAATTCATGTAGGTGGACAAATTTTATTAATAGTTTTTAACAATAATTTTGATAAAAACTTTTTAACGAAACCTCAATCAACAAATTGGTATTCTTGATTTTCTCTAAGATTGATCTTGTAAAATAGCATCACATTGAACAAAATGTACTTCTGTCGTGTGTAATTAATGATCTCATATATGTAACTAATAATTTGACTTACACAATAGATTTTAGTGTTGTTAATATCAAGAATATAAGTTGGAATTTTCAAAATATTATAAATTAATATCTATTGCGATTTTATAAAAGCATAAAGGATGGAACTCTTTTAAAAATAAAAGTTACATGGTATCGAAAGGAACACAAAGATTACTTCCATCTTTTGAAATAGAATGACTTATATTTCTCCCTAAAGAACAAAGCATAAAATTTCATACGAAAAACTATTATATCAATTGAGATTTGAAATGATTTATTTTTGTTTCCGTTAGTTTCGTTCCTTGAATTCTTGTATACCGTGAAAAAGGTCAATCATACTTATTTTTTGCAAATAGTACATTCGTATTTTAAATTTTATTCACTTTCACATTCTTTACCATTAATGTATTCACATTACTGGTCGGTTGCAACACAATCTTGAATAAAATTCACGATTCTCGCGAACGAATCTAAATATTATTCGACAACTTTCGAGTATTTAAATTTTCAAGATAAGAGAAAAAATTCTTCGCACATATAGAATAACCAATAATAAGACGAGGAACGAGTAAAAATTGATATCTATCCCCCTTTATAACGAAGCGACGTTATAGATAATTATTCGAAACAACGATAGGCTGCATTTTCTAAGAAACGTAGATCGGAATCTTAAAAATTGTAGCCATGACGTGTCCGTTGTGTCCAATTTTAAATCGTTGCGTCGACTGTCGAATAATCGAAGAGGAAACGTCACAACAGTTAATTGATTCACAAAACGAGCAAATGAGACACCGAAGCTGTGCTCGTATTACGTTATCATAACCGGCGGGTTAACAAGCAGCCGGACATCTTGACAGGTTATTAGATATTATCACGAATCATGCAGCCGTGCTTTGCGGGCGAATAAGAACCATTAAGACGAACCTGGCACGAAAGCGAGGGTAACTCCGATGATCCAAATGATGATCATTGACGCTGATGCTGTTTGCGGTGTCATGGCGCGGTGACCTTTTAGCGGTGCCGCGATTAGCATATATCGTTCCACCGACATGAAAGACAGGATCAGTACTGAAACCTTGACAGATCGATTCCATTTCAATACATTAACAACGTTCCGTTCGACCTTTCGAATAACAGATCATGAAAAATACTTCGAATTCAATCGACATTACGTTAGATAACAATCCCTGCACGCTCGACTAAAACTCCAACGACACGGTTTCATCCTGATCATAGCTATTCTTCTTGCTTCGCGTTCGGTCTGCATAGGGATTAATTCAGGAAATTGTTTAGAGAAACTTCGGTAAACAGAAATTATTTTAGAAAGTTCTTCGTCCAGGGTAAAATAAAAATTGATAGAATGAATTCTGAATATATTGAAATAGGTTGGCATTCCACGAGTTATTTTATGTTAGAGTGTTGAACACGTGGTGTTCGAAAGGGCTGAAAGATTTGTCCTATGTGTTTGAATCCCTTTAGTATTTTTATGCAATAATTAAATGTAAGAATAACTATTTATTTCAATTATAATGAATTCCTCGAATTATTTGATAATTCTAGAATTCTTTTGTAATTGAAAAGCGTGTTTAAGTAATTTATTTAATAAATTAAAGACAGGGACTGAATTTAAATCGATTAATTAAAAGTAAAAATTTTGCTTCTGAATGTAAAACATTTTAATTTGTGTCTCGATGCTGAAAATAATTACCTATTATTGGTACTAATTTTAACTAATTTGTCTATATTCTGTGCAAACAATGATATTATAAATGTATAATATATTTCTATATCAATTTTTGCTATTCTAAGTTAGCTTGTCCAAGTTCTCAGAATCACTCTATTTTTAATAAAAATATTAAATACCACATACCTCCAAGGATGTCATCGCCAAAACTCCTAAAATAGTGCAACTCCAGGATGACATCCACGAACTAGCAACTCGTTTGTAATTATCGCGGAATATCATGTCCGCCATAGCGATTACGAACAGGTAGATTCCCATCAACGTGTCGGAGACTGTAAAAAGATTATGCGATTCCCATATCGAGCTTATGCGATTCAATGATTTATAATCACCAATATTTTGTTAAAAATTGAAACTAATTTGGAAATTTATATAAACAAAATTTAAAAAAATATTATTCCTATCTCAAAAATTTTATTAGTACCTATACAATAATATGTATAATATAATGCAACAGAGTAGTTATTATGCATCATAATAAAAATAATATCAATTCTACGAAATTGTGGAACTCTATATTAGGCGACGAATAAATCATTTTTTGTAATGAAGTCGATTAATTATTCGTTATTTGAGTTAGAGGAATCAAAAAAGTGTTTAATCCTGTATTACATCATGTATTTAATAGTTTAGTATACAGGTAGCCAAGAAATAAATTTTCTTTTAACAGAGGGTTAAAATATTTAGTGGGAATAATTGTAACTAACCTGCCAGATTTTTTATGATAATAGTCAATACGCGATTTTCATCCTTGGCCGTGAATCTTCCCCAAAGAACAAGAACGTTACCCATGCAAGTAACGCACGATATTACCCATACTGCTGCCCGTAACAATGTCTTATCGAGCAAATGGGACAACGACGAAACTCCTGAACGAAACATCAGTCTTATATTAAACTATTTATTATACTCGCTGGGCAATGAAAATTATATTTTTTCTAACAATACTACTGTAGAAATTTTCGCCAAAATACAATTTAATGAACTTCTGCTGGACTTGTACGAATATTCATAATATTCTCAGTTAATTTGAAAAAATGGGATTCTCATTGTTAGATAATCAAAAGCTTAAAAAGGTATAATAACAGTAAACTGTGAACTTCTGAAGATAATACTAAAACAGCGAACAAATTTTATGCGTAAAAATAAATTTTAAAAATCTGACTGAACCGAACAATAAATTCAAATTAATTTGAACGAAATATTTTAAAAATTTCTTATTAGTTTGTCTCACCGTCTCCGGATGGCCGACATCTTATTGCGTTCGGCGCGAACGTCGCGCAATAGTGAAATTTCTTGAAATATCTGCAAATACATCGACCATTTCGCCTCTTTTACAAAATTTCGTGCATTAAACGATTAAATATTATTTTTCTGTGTTGTATACGTATCTGAAATTAATATTTGCCGGAAGAGTCATGGTTGAATTTACTTACACGTCCTCCAGTTCCCGAAACACGTCGAACGCGTTCTTCTTCAACGTGTCCAAACTTATGCCCTCCAAATCACTATGATTTCCATCGATGATAATTACAATCTGTGCAACCTCGTGTGATAAACAATGGGAAATAATACGGATAAAACTTACAGCGAATGAAGTTTCCTCAATGGATTCAAAACTGCCATCGGTAGATTGTGAAGATTGTTGTAGCCTAACTCTCTGCAATTTATAACAATTGTTAACCCATCCACTTACGACGCAATGCATTTTATGTATTAAATTTCATTTGTTTTAAAACGAAGTGAAAATAAATTTTACTTGCTAGTTTGATGTATAATAATTGGATTTAATACAGTACAGTAATTCAAATCAATCGTCTTGTGCACTAATACAAGACCAAATAAACCTATTTTCTCAAAGACCAACGAAGATTTCATTTTTGTTTAAATTAAAAGCTCCAAGAGGATTAAGCTTCTTATGCACGACAGATTCTTTAGAATTAAGAAGTTATCCAAAAAAAAGTTTTCCATTACAAATTAGTGAATTTCAAAATGTTCTATACGGTGATTTTTATTTGAAATAATTCACCGTGCAACATCGAATAATCGTCCGAAGAAAACGAAAAACGATGATCAAATGGGTTGATACGAGCAGAGGAAAAAAGGCTCGTTTAAACGTTAGATAAATCCTCTTTGGGTTCATGTAAATCCGAGAGCTCGTACAGCTACGTATCCGCATTATTTTCGTACGTGCCGCTAGAATAAATAAAAGTTTTAACGCCGACCATACGTGCCGTTCCTCTCGTTTGCTTTTCTAACGCCGTGTTCGACGGTAAATGTCATGTAAATATGTTGCGAGCACGCGCGTAGCTTAAGACGTGTAGCGTTACAATTTATGAGAATGCCCGTCCCTCGTATACTTACAGCTTCGTCAGATTTTTCAATGGCTGGAATACATTCAGCGGGACGGTCGTTATTTCGTTGTACGCCAAATTGCTGGACAGAAAAATTTATTTCGTACGACATCGTGATAAACGACGAACGTAACAACGCCGGTACATTCGCGCGCGATGCGTTCGCGGAAGTTTTGCAAACTCACAGTTCCTCGAGGTGCTCCAAATTTCGAAACGTCTCCTCCTCGATCGTTCTTATCGCGTTCTTCTGCATGCTCCTGGGACCGATTAATGCCATAATCGAAAGCCTTAATTTTTTATGTTCAACATCTAATTACGTACGTACAATAATCTTAACGTTGGACATCCGACGAACAGTGTATCGGGAATAGCATCGAACTTGTTCTCGTCTAGCAATCTGGAAATATATTAAACGGATCGAAACGATCGTAGTTTGGAAACTTTGAGAACGTTAGAGGGAGAAGCTTACATCTCGTTCAGCGCTGGCAAGTATGGCAGCTTCAGAGTTTCCGATGTCAACAGATTTTCGCTTAAATCTCTACAACGGTATTGCTTATTTAATAGATTTTAACATATTTATAATCAAATATGTACCTAATATTACCCAATAACAAATAAAGTAGTCACGCTCTAAGTGTGACGAATAACATCGTTGAATAAAAATGATAAATAATAAATAGTTCTGTCGTTCAACGTGCTACGATAATTAGGATAATTTTTCGGTTGCAACGAAATTAGTTGTACGAATAACTTACATGAAAGATAAACTGACGCTTCCCTTCAGATCCGACAAATCTGCTACGGTGATTCTGTTCTTATTTGCCTTTAGAGTCTCCAAATCATGTAAATCGGTAAAATGTCCAGGCAGTAGCTCACTGATTTTATTATTCTCTAATATTCTGCGGATCAATTTTATGTTAGCTCTTTACAAGTGGTACCGTAGCGAAAAAGAATATTTTTTTATTAATGTTAACAGCGTATATTTTAAATATTTGCAATATCTGTTTAGTTGCTAATAAAATTTAAAAAAAATTTGGTTCTAATTGTATGATTAATAAATTAAAGGATGTAAACACTTGTTAGTCTAATTTTCAAAACGTGTATATATTGTTACATAATGTAACAATAATTGAAAATATATTCCGCTCGAAGAATCATTTTTATATCCATCCTGAAACAACATACTTTTAATTTAAGAGCAACCAAATATCGAATGAGCTAACTCGGTACAAATGCACTGCTGCTCCACGATGAGTGCTCACGGCTCGTTGTGTCGCCATGTTTGACGCGAAAGACAAACTTAATCAGCACAACGCTTAACGTTTTAACTTTAAAAAAAATTTACGTATACTACGTATTCTCAACTTTTAATATGTTCTTTAGTTTGAAGACAGTTTCGAGGCAATATTATTAACTCAATAACAGCCAATAATTCCAATTAAAAGTCTCGATAAAGTTTACTGTCTTAACGAGAGATCAGAAATTTTCTTTTGATAATACCAGGAAGGCTCTTTTTATCAAATAAAATTTAATATACTCGAGTTAGGCTTGTACACTAACAAACTCTTGCCTGTACGAGTTTCCAGAATAATGGTACTTACAGCCAATATAGTTTCTTTAAATGTCTGAAAGCTCCTATCTCTATTTCGCTTATGTCGGTGCCATCGAGATACCTGAAAAAGACGATTTTCTTTTCTCGTAATTGAATGTGCACATTGTATGCAGAAAACTTACAATATACGTATTTCTGGGTATCGGGCGAAGGCGTCCCTTGGCACACGTTTAATGGAACTGTCGTACAGAGTTCTAAAAATGTTTGTGAGTTTTCACATTGATCGAATTATGCTAAAAAATACCGCAGAAACTTGTACAGTAAACGGGTACGAGATACTCGATTTTTAAATACTTAGAATTCGTACATCGCGGTGGTTTGCGAGGACAAGTTTTGTGGTATTTCGGAATATCCATAGCAAGTTGCACGACACTTCTCGTAGTTACATCTATCAATGGCGTCTGCAATAATAAGTGCACAATTTCGATACTCCCGTTTGTACTTGTTATTTTATTGTCTCTTGAAATTATAATTTCGCTGTTACCGCAAACGAATTTCGTTATGGCTTCCTTTATGGAGTCTCTGGGTTTTCCAAAAAGGTCCAGTACACCGTTAGGATCGTCTATGGTACATAATAAAAAATTCTACGTGAACAATGCAATTAATTTTACTGTGCAGAACTACGTGACAACATACAGGGTGTTTTGAAACTATAAGTACAAAGTTAACCTTATCAAATTTGGATTTTATTTAATGTTTACGTAATTGTGTGATTCCATTTGTGCATTAAAAACGTTAAATAAAATTGCTGTTTCGATCATTGGAACAATAAATAAAATAAATTTGATCAATACCTAAAAGTTTACGTATAGTTTACGTACACCCTGCCTAGATTTTCTATAATGTTACATTAGATGGAAACAATTGCAATTATTTGTGAAGAATATTAACCTACAGCAAGTTTGTTCGTCATCGCCGTAGGGACATTGTATCACCTGGTTGCACCAACTTCTTTGGGGTAAACAAATGGTGGTGTTGTGGCAAAGGAAAGTTCCTACAGGACACGCATCTGCATTCACGAATTTCCAAAGGTCATTATATAGAAATAAAAATATAAATATGTATTGCGTATTTAAAAGAAATAGATCTCAAAATAATAAAAGTTTATTAAGACGACATTAAAGTCACTTGTTAATGGTAAATAAAGTTGCTTCAAGATAATTTAAATCAGACTCCTGTTCATAAATCAAAGGGTACGCATTGCTTCTTGAAAGTAATTGATTAATAATTTAATTTGCCTGTTTCTTTCATTGTGTGGTGATCTCGTATACCAAATTGGCCAATTATTTCTATTCATTTCTGGATTTCGCATGAAACGTGAAATTGAATTGAAATAAAAAACATTTTATTGGAGCTAAAGACGATGAATGCAATCATCATACAGAACTTCATTCCCCCAGTTTGTTTTATTTAACAAATTTTCGTACGAACCTTCATTTGTTAAACATAAAATATAATTTCAATTGAATTTTGATTGAACAAATAATTAATCGAAAGAAATTTAACTTTTATTTGTTGATTTCATCTTTGTATCGTCGTATGAATTTGAGATTTATTTGTTAAAGTGTACGTTGTCAGTGACGCATAAATAAGAAAACGCTTGAAAGAAGCGTTGTGCGTGACTAAACATACATTTGTTTCGCATTGAGAAAGATGATATTCTTTTAAAAAGACAGAAAAACAAGGAAAATATAATGAAATTTGAGAATTCTGCAACGAGTCACGTACCTTGATTAAAGTAATACATGAGCCCCGAGAGTAAGCATACACAGGAGATCACAGACGCTCCAATGACGCCGATCCGCCTGAATCTCATCCTGTGATATTTGTAAACGACCAATCACCGATTGAATGTATTCGTTCTTCCCGTGAAACCTTGAAAAATCGATCCCTTACGTTTGGTTTCGGGTCGACTTTCGTGCTTCGTCCCTTCGCACGAACAATGTTCTCCACGTGCACTCGGTGCAACGACTGCATGACACTGGTTGCATCCGCTAGCACGTTGTAAGCTCCGACGTCGCGCACACGCGCTCTTCATCCTCCCCGAATGAGGTTTCCTTGTCCGTTTGGTGGTCAGAATTCCACATCGAATAACAACAATCGATTATTCTTATCTCAATGATCTCGATAATAGAGATAGACGTCTCTGATTATAGCGAATATCTCGCGACGATGAGAGCAAAGATGACAGGCTGAGGGTAGGTGGTACAGATTCATATGTCTATTTTTGACTGACGATCGGTGGGTTCTTTTGGACCCAGAGGTATCTCGTTCCTTCACTCTGTTTCAGCAATCTTTAAAGTCTTTTATTTTGCGATTGCACCTTCATTAGTTACTAAATTTTTAAAATCACTAAATCGTTAGAAGTCTAAATATGTAAATACTACAATAGATACGGTATGGATAGAACCACACACGAGGCATACGAGTAGACCTTACATTCAATGTATTTTTTTGGCCCATTTTTATGGATCTCTAGAGCCCCATTACCATTTTCGTGTCACTCGTAACATTACCAACAGGTTTCACAAATGAACACAAGAGACTGAAAATAAAATTACAAAAGAAAAAAAAATGTTATTTTTGACAATCGACGTTGCATTAGGTGCTAGTTATGCAATAGTTGTATCGTGAAATATAAGTATGAGATATAAGAAATGCAAAACAACAAAAATATTGGTAAATATTGAAATACAAAAATAGATCATTAGTAATTCGTTATTCAATAAAGAATTCCTTCATAATAAAAATGCAAAATTAAGAGATTAATTGGATGTATTTAAGTTTCGTAAAAGATTCCAGGAGTACATAGATTAGTCAATTTCGTGTTTTAAAATCTCAAATAAAAGAGATCTCACTGTAAATCGTTTACTTTTTACGCCTATTATTACCTACCTTTATTTGCAAATAAAAGGTCACTGATGTAAAACTGGTGTTTCGATCCAGTTAGTGCTAATGGACTGGCCGGTAAGGCTGATCTAGCACACCTTGTCTTAGACACAGTTGTTTAAATACACCGAGTATACTTTTAAAAACGACTCGAGTAATTGCTTGTTCGTTGAATGAAATTAAACTCTTCGTTAGTCGGAATAAACATGTCTTTATTTTCAAAGCTTTCGACTATAATATTCTGTACTTCGATGATGAATAAAAATATAATGTAAAGCTATATACAAACTTTTACTCTTATTACTCGCGAATCAAATCTGGTCATATTTAAGAGACATTGCCAAAAATTGCGTGCAATAATTTGTCATAATTATCTTAACGAATATGAGAGTAATTTAAAAATTTTAAAAATAGTTTAGAATGAACATAGGCAGTTTTCAAATTACACACCTCGTGCTTTGAATTTGAAATGTATTTATAAAAATTAAGCACTATGATGCTTCAAGAGATTTACATTTTTAGTTCGAGCTAAAGTCTGTGACTGCAAATAAACTGTAAAATGGGTGTAAAAAACGTAACCGCACCATCGACAATAAACGCTTCGACGAGAAGCAGAAGTTCTTAACCGTTCAAAACCGTGGAAAAAGAAATAATTGCACGGTAACGTGTCTACCCCAGAAGTTCAAACTCTGTGATTGAAAAGTATACGAAACTCGAGCGCGCCTTATAACGTATGCAACATTGTCTATGACAAAATTGCGGCCACACTTCGAGCGATCAGAATTCGCGCCGACGGCGTGACTCGATTCACGGCAGAATATGTAATTACTCATTAATGGAGAACTACGTATCGATCGAAATGTCGCCGCGATTCTGGACTGCGTCCAGCACACGAATTTTTATCCAACCTTTCGTCCACGAACTCAACGATCGTTTCGTTCGGAGTTCCAGTCGCTTATCGGCTATCGAGACGAAAACATTTCTCATACAAAACACCGATACACGCTATGTTGGCAATCGAGGAAATGTAGTGTAATCGAATTCGCAGAAGTGAGTGATTTTTAGAATTTTTGCTTGGAACGTTGCATGTATAGGTCGCTCTCTGCTATAGTTCGAATTGAAGTCGTAGACACGAACAGGAATTTTTGATGACTTTTTGGTGACCATTTCGATTTTGGGGGGTCTGAAATTTTACCATTTTCATTTTTAATTTTACCATCGAATATGTCTGCGCTGCTATGTATTAAAGTCTGTGTCGATGGTTTCGATGGAACCAGATTTCAGAGTTAAGAAAATGACTTCGACATTGACGATCGGATACTTTGTAATCTTTCAGGACAAGAGTATTGTCATGTTCGCGAGATTGAAGAAACCGATATCGGTGTACGTGGAATTGTTGTACGACAAGAACGTGCTTTCATGGAGCAAACGCATCCTGAACTTATCCGGCCTCTGGCCGGATAATCGGAACGACGTTAGATTCTTTTTCTACATTACGTACGTCATTATATTCACTTGGCTGGAGATCGTTACGTTCTTGCAGAACATGCACGACCTTGAGAAGTCGTTGAAAAATATCACGTTATCGTTTCCGACCATCTTGATAGTACTGAAGGCCGTGATGTTTCGACTGAACATGCATCTCGTGCTACCTTTACTGGCAGTCGTGAAAAGGGATGTGGAGCAAGGCTTGTATCAGTCGCAGGATGAAAGACGAACGGTGGTGTGGTACAACGTGGCCGCCACGTTATTTTCCACCTCGTCGGCCATGTCTTTATTCTTCGTGCCTATGTTGTTTTATGCCAAGCCAGTTCTCGACTGTCTTTCATCGAGTAAGTTCGATCGGATGCACAATTAATATTGTACAGAACTTCGTTTTGACATTGTTTATTTCTCATATAAATTATATTTACTTTTCTTCAATTTCGTAATCAAAACTTTTAACGCTTTGATCATGACCAATTGACCATTGTGGAACTAAACAAATTAATTCTCAAGTCTAGACGTTCGAGGGAAACTTCAGATAGGATTTGGCGGATTTTAGTAATGGTTACAGAAATAAATACTGAAACAAATTTTAAGTTACAGTTATATTTACAGAATTTTATTAAATTAAATCAAGAAAATAAGAAGACAATCGACTTATAATTAGATATGATTATTCTACGTGAAAAAGTGAATCGAAAATATGTTTTTGTTTCCAACATAATGGACGTTGAAGATTTATCTAACGTGTCTGTCTATTATTCGTTATTTCTACTTAGGTTGGACGTTCATAAGCATCGATATTGACATGATATTTATTTCAACTATAGTGGTTCTAATTAGTGAGCCCAACGACGAAAAGTAATTCCATAATAATGTTATTGTTTAAGGACATCGAAACAAGTAGAAATAACGGATAATGGACGGACACCTGCTCCACGAATTTCCAAAATGAATTTTCTCAGAAACAAAATACGAAAAAATTTCATTTTACTCAAAATCGAATCAGATAAAGGTTCATTTAAAACTATGCAGCCATTTACACGGAATTGTGTTAACAAATTTGAACCACACCGTACATACATAATGGCGGATATACAACATAGAAGCATGCTAATAATAATGATATTTTCATTGTCTCTATCATGATTATAATACAGTTCGTTTTATTTCTTATATGTTCGAAGTATATACTACTGTTTTCTTTTACGCCCGTTTTATTTTAACTCTACAAAATGGCGGCGGACGCATTTTTACGAATAATATTAAGGCTCATACTTACGGTATATGCGCGTTAAAAAACGTAGTAAACCGTTTCCTTGGAATGTTCGTTTCACTCGAGGCTTTTACTACCGAATTGAATCAGATTCGTATCTTTGAATTATTTAAAAATCCTCTAAAATCGAGAAATTCGGTACTGCCAGAAAACAACGTCCCCACTATCTCGAGGAGCGCCATTGAGAACTTAATTTCCAGCTTTACGCGTCAACCGGGTGTTTCATTAAAACGCGAAATGACGTTTCGTGTCGCGAGTCGTGGAACGAAGAAAGCGGTAAAAGTCGTGGCTTTATTAAACTCGCGGCCATTATCAGAGTGTCGCGGACGCGCGGGCGAGATAAATCAAGATTTTAATGTGGACTTTATCGGTCGAATCCAGGAAACGCATTCGATATCCGTATCCATATGATTGCGCGTACAGTTACATCGCGCGTGCAGTTTTATAGTGTTTCGAGGCGACAGTTATACTTCCTTCACGATACGCAAACGGCTACGTTTTACGAGCCTGTCACAGTTTGTCGAAGATTTTGCACGACCACCGACGCTGTGACTCCTTCGGGACCGTTTAATCGAGTACTTCACCGTCGAGGAAACCTGTATTTATGTACTCGACGCGCGAGTGATACGAATACCGAAAAATGCAATAAAAAAACCTCGTAAAAAGACAAAGTCTATCGTTGGTTGCAGAATTTCATTCTCAGGTTAATATTATTATTACACGAAAATTTACTCCTTCAAATAGCCTATTTTTTCGTGTGTAATTTTTTCGTAATGGGTGACGTTTGCTTCTTCACCTCCGCCAGAAAGAAAATTTATTTTTTTATATACAATTCATGTATAAATTTCACTCGATAAGTTCGCGTTAATTTTTTTGAATTTTTTAACAATTTTACAGTATTTGTGAGGTGCTTGATTTAAGGGGCCTTTCTACCTTGTGGGATTTTAAAAACCGAATTTTTTTTTTGCATTTTCTTTTAGTATGTAGTCTCGAAAATATATCTACCAAATATTAAATTGAAATTCTGAAAACTAACGAAGTTATAGCCTGCTGTAATGTACCACGCGCAGGGATATATGTACATATAACTACATTTTTCGGCACTGCGTATGTGATAACAGAAAAACTATTCAAGATATCAAGAGGAAATTTATACAGTATCTTTAGAACTAGTCTTCCTTTAGCATGAACTAGGATAATTGCGATATCTGCAATACTTTTTCTTTTATTAACAAAAAAGCAGCCAAATATATGAAAATATTCAGTATTTTTTCGTAAAATAGCTGCCATTTTGCCATTTTTTGTTCTTTTGAAAAGATCCTAGTCCATGCTATAACCACACTCATCTATATTAAGAATATCGTTGGTTTTTGGATTTCGGATAACTTGTTCGCAAGATATCACATACGCAGTCGGGCGCCGTTCCTAAAAACTGTTGTTTGTTGATCAACAAACAACAGCGTAATCAGTAGATATTATGCGTTGCAAAAATTCGTAAATATAGCTAAATATATAATGAATGTATCTACAAAACACGGAATTAATCACTCTTTAATAGTCCGCAAAAAAAAATATTTTTCGTGGCTACATGGTAGAATGGCCCCTTAATATTCGAACGAACTGAAGAATAGTATCCCACGAAGTACTAAAAAATAAATTTATAAAGTGTGCAAATAATTTTGTGAGGTCGAAAAAGTACACATTACGTTGTGGATTGTTTTTGTTTGTTCCAGAAGGCGAAATATTAATAGTCTTGCAAACTTCTTCATTTTTTAAAATACGTACCCCTGTACTAATGAATTTCTAACTCATTGTGTTACTAGGTGTTGCTTTTATTTATTGATGTTTTTCATTGGTTCGTAGAGTTCAACAACTGCACGCTTCCATACGAAATACCGATGAGAGTGAATTCTGTTTACGAAGTGACGGAAATGCGTACGTACGCGTTGTTCTGCGTTTATTTCATTCCGATCAGCATGGTATTAACAGTCGGTGCCACCGGGGCGGACAGTCTTTTAGTTACGTTAACCTTTCACCTGTGCAGTCAGCTCTCGATACTGTCGCAACGTGTTAGGAACATTGACATTGAACCTCGCACATATATCCCAAAAATGAGAATGCTCGTTGAACGACACACTGAACTTCTACGGTAAGGCGTTTCAAATAATCGTTCTGCCTTCAATTTCTCAATTAAAATCCATCAATCTTTGTATTAATTCAAGATACTCAAATGGAGAATCTCTCATAGTAACTAATATTTTGATATTCATAAATTAAAAAAAAAAACTATTATTCATTTGAACTTGGAGAATATAAAGGAACATCGTTAAATTACAGAAAATAATCTTTTATGTCAATTCTTTTCTTGTTAACTCCTATTAAAATTTTTATAAGAAAAACGAAAACTCGATAATTCGAACCTGTTACACGAGAGTAATATAAAACAATCTTTTTGCATTAATAAATTTATTTAATAAAAGCATCACAACGCCACGTATGGTTAATTATAGATTGGCAAATATTTTGGCGGAAGCGTTCAGTTCCTTGATGTTTGTGCAAACATTAGGACTGATATTCTCTTTGTGCGTTGTAGCCTATCAACTACTTATGGTAACGTTATCAATTCCTGTAGATATCGGATGAAATTAATTACACATGATCACATGCACTTTATAGTATAGTAAAGCACTCGATTCCTTCTACATTCGTCTGTTTGTTGGAAATTTTTGTTCAGCACGTTGCACGTCGTTGTTCGTTTTAAAGAACTGTTAGTGTTTCAGAAAAAATGTTCAAACGTTTGCAGAATTCAAATATGGCGATATTTTATAGACGAGCGAATCTGGCGAAGACATGAACACGATACATTTTGTAATTTACTCTTGCGCTGTAGTATTGCTAGCATTTTGCTACTGTTTCCTTGGAGAGTGCCTAATTGCCGAGGTAATTTCATTTTTTATACAATTAATATAATTATTATGCGTATTAAAAATAAGTAAAGCTTAGACGTTTTTAAAATTGTATGTTAGATGTAAAGGATCAAAAGTCGAGTTACAAAATGAAAATTAATTAAAGTAATTTTAGTTACAAGAATATCGGTTAATCTTCAGTCTGATCAAATTTTCCTCAACAATTACGGTTAAAAGGAAGGCTCTAGAGAAAATTTCTCTTAAGGAACCCTGTTGAGACGACCGTATATCCTATTTTAGTCGTTTCAGTGACCGTGACCGTGATCCTAACTCAAAATATATTAGTCTCGACTCCCTGCTCTTGGCTCTCGAGTAAGCTTATGAACCCCTTTCTCAAAATGGCGTTTTAACACTTTACCGACCGATAGCCTATTAATCGACTGTTTTACCGGCTAACGCTTACCGACTGATAGCCTATTAATCAACTGTTTTATCGGTCGGCGTTTACCGACCGATAGCCGATTAATCAACCGCTACCGGTCGGTAAAGTGTTAAGAGACTAATTAAATCAATTACTCTGCCAAATAAGAGTTCGTATCGAATAGAAAAGGATTTAAGTGTCCTGTAGTGTAGGTTTTTTACAAATTTTGTTTACAAACTGATAGAAAATTATGAATTACAACTACATGTTGGTAGCTTTATCAATGTTTGGAAGTTTACAAAAAAAAAAGCTTGTAATTTCGTATAAGGATTGTTTTCATGGAAACATTTCATCAAAGCATTAACATTGGGTTCGTCGTGTATTACAATATTTTCAGAGTAGTGAAATGCAAATGGCTTGCTATTTTATCAATTGGTATGACTTGCCAGACGAGTACGCGAAATCTTTAATGTTTAGCATAGCCCGATCCCAAAAACCATCGTACCTAACTGCGGGCAAGTTTTATGTGTTTTCATTGGAAACGTTCGGCGCTGTGAGTATTTCAAATACTATTACTTCGTGTCAATTTTAAACATAAAAATCCGCATAATGTAGGAAAACCATCATTTTTTAACACGATTGTTTCAAACGTGTTCATTTTGTTTTAGATAATGAAAGCGTCGATGGCGTATCTTTCCGTTTTGAGAGGGATTATGTAGACAACAATAGTACCTCAATAAAATTACTAAATACGCAGAAACAGTCGTTCGTAATACAAATTATTACTGTTTATCAGATCGATGTAAAAAGAACATTTATCTCGAAATAATTAATGGTTACGATATAAGTATACCTAAAGACTTAGTGTTAAATGTAACGTAAATATTTAACGCACAATACATTCCCGTTCTACTTTTCAGTGGAAATTCATTTTATTCTTGCTCGTTTCACTTGTTACCTCTTCCTTAGCCATCGTAGAAATCAATATTTACTACGCACAGACAGAATTGTATTAATTAAGAATCTTACACGCTTTCTCATTGCAAGTAAACAAAATGGCCACAATCGTGAACCCCCGTGGATCTTTTTTCAAAGCCAACTGTGTTTTAAAGGATCCATTCTTTTGTTTCAAAAAATTTTAGAATATTTTTCAAACACATATAAACAAACCCTGTAAATTTATCTGCAAAAGAGTATTATAGATTCTTTGTAAAAAATTCACGCTAGAGTACTGTCTCAAGTCGTCGTGCACGCTGGAGAAACATTTTAAAATAAGTCGTGCTCAGCGACATTTGCAATCGCACATTCCTAATTGAAGGACGGGTGGTCGAGAAGAAAATAACAAACGCCAGCTACGACAAAGCAGAATGACACGTCGAGACGTCACGACGTTTATTCGAATCGAATAGATGGAATTTCGAGGGTTGTTCGCGTCATTCCGCCGAATCGTGGCCGGCCGCTGATGTGCTTTTGGCTGAAGGAATTAAAAGAAAAATTTATTTCGGTTTATTCAAGAAAGATACAGAGTGTACAGCTGCCGGGGGATACAAATTATGCATATAACCCGTGCTTCTCGGTGAAAACAATCGTCCCTATTGCAACGTCGAAGCACGTGGACCCTGTCGTCGTTGTCTGCTTACAACGACCTCGATCCTACTAATGAAGTAACAGCTAACGCGCGTACGACGATCGCGATACACCTTCGAGGCCCCGCGGTCCTGCACTCGATGCACCTAACAGCCAGAGCTTTATCGGTGACAGAAACTTCTCGTGCAACGTCGTGTACATTTTACAAACTTCGATAAACGCGATGTGCACCGTGGTATGGAGCAAAATTCTTTTAACAGTCGTTCCAAGACTCTTACGAGCAACACGCTGCGTCTAACTGGGTACGTCGCGTTCGGGATTTCATACAGGACGAGAAACAAAAGAAAATTGTCGGACGATAATAGTCGTTCCCGATTGAAACGGGTGTTCCTTTGTTCGAGCGCGAGGGTAGTCGAAACTTTCGAACGATCGTAATTTTGGATCAGCTTGGGACGTTCACGAAACTTTCTTACCGCGTAGAATCCTCCCCAGCGACGAGGAAAATTGTCAGAATGAATCGTTTCATTTTATCCTTGGTATCCCTATGTATGCAGTTTGGTTTGATTTTGTTGTTGATTGCATTAAAGATACACAGAAATGATACGAAAACTTTTACAGCATAGAATCCTTCCTAGTGACGAGGAAAATTGTCAAAACGAATCGTTTTTTATTGTTATTAGTACTTCTATGTATGCAATTGGTTTGAATCTGTTGTTCACTGTATTACAAGTAGAATTGTCCAACGACGAAAAAAATTGTCAGAATCATTTGGTTTTTCATTACTGGTATTGCATTACTCTATAAGTAATTCTTCTGTAATCTTTTTTCTATAATATATTATGAATAGAACAAATTATTCAGCAATAATTCTCTTGGGTTTGTTTAATTCACAGCATTCTCAGATCCTTGGTCGATAATATTAACTCTACGTTTTTTTTTTAAATTTTTTACTTAAAAAGGAGTGCATGAGCTTACAATACTGTTCTTTGTTGTTGTATATCTACTTGACAAGAGCTTAAATATTATTAAATACTTGTAAAAAACGGTTTTCATGAAATAATTATTTGTCTTGCTTGATACAGTATCTTTGAGCACAAAATATGAAAAATAACCGTTAATTTTGTGTTAAATAAGTTTTGTCGAATAAATAAAAGTTGCTAGATTGAAAAATTATGGTAACCAGCTGGTCTGCGTTAATGGAGCCACTTTTAATATCTCTGCAAGTACTATACACTAGCTGCTGTTGATATTAGACATGTATACAAGAATTCTAATGAACACGAGAATATCTCAACCAAAATGAATAGAAATAAATTTAAATAATTTGAAATTGGAACAATTTAAACGACTGCATCGAATAGATCGATAAAAATTATAGAATTTCATTTAAAAAAAAGACGCAATTACATTTCTCAAATACATCAATGTATAAAAATGGATAAAATTGCATTGAGTTTGTGCATCATTTGATGCTGTTTAATTTTGCCTTATGACATTTGTTTCCCAATTGTGTGGAACACCTTGTATACGAATAAACAATGATTCGAAATTTCATTATTTAAAAACGTTTATTTTAAAGATGCAATGTTTTGTTTAAACGAGATCTATTTTAATGAAATCTTTTCATGATAAACTTGTCAGGACACACAAACACCTATTTTTTTATTAAAATAGAGAAATGAGTTTCTTTTTTAACAGAGTATATTCAGCGAAATATTATCTAATTTTACTGTAACAAGTAACACAAAGCGGCAAGGAAATATTGAGACTAAATTAACTCTTAAAAGACTTGTGCAATCTTCAATAACTTTGGTATTTTTATATGTTCCAAAATGTACAAAAATAACAAATCTAAATATCATGGTGCAGAGATATACTTTTATATTAATTTCATTGTTTTTGCAATACTTGAATATAAAGCATGGTAAAAAATGGAAATACTTAGCTTCGAGACCGTATGTTTTTCGAGTACAGTGATTGAGTAGAGTGATTTAAATACAATTGAATATTTGTTTATATTTCTTTTAGTCTCAATATTTTCTTAGCTTCTGTATACGTATAACTGTATTATAGTTGACTGCTAGTGATGTCGTTAAAATAAACAAAGTAAAACTATTAATGAAGTGCGTAGATCAGTTACGTTCTTTACGTTCCAAATCAATATAAAATACCATATTACTTACTTGTAACACTTGTTCGATCTTCGATATTTCAATTTCAGTAATATGTGTAATACGAAATACTTGTGCAGAATGTTCCATAATGAGCATTACATTCGATAAAACAGACGATTCTACGTGCAAAAATAAATCAAAAGTTTACAATAGAATTTTCAAATCAATTTTTGTAATTTTCGACATACGTAACCAAATTAATGGCGAAGACGTACAAATTTAGAAATTTGTAAATCAATATTTTACAAATTGTTGTATGAATATAGTCAAAAGATCTTTATTCTTTTTTAAGTTTCGTATTCAATATATTCTGGTACAAAATGGTTTCAATAAGGTCATTATCCAAATCTACGTTTCGAGTTAAAATCTACCAGTAACGTACTGCTTAACTAAGAAGGATGTAAATGTACTCCCACAATCTAGAAGCAATAATGAAATTAATTCGAACTAACTTTCTGATGATTATTAAGACTAAACAGGAGAAAAGTTAAGTAAAATATGACACAAATTAATAAGAAGTATGTTTAAAATGTTAAATTCCAGCTAAATACAAGCGTATAAAATATTAGTCAAATTAGTATAATGTATGTTTATGAAGTAATAAACTATTTCATCGAAAAAAGCGATTTTTCTTCTGTAAATGTATTAATTTGTTTAGAATCAGAATTTCAAGATTAAACAATTGGAATAAAATTTCTGGTCATAGATTACTATTTCTAAACATTGCTCAGAATTAAGGTGAACTAGCTTCAAAATTAATTTCCTCAAAAATGAAGTCGTTCGTGCAAGAAAATTTTCTACATTTTCGATTTATTCTTGCACGTAGTATCGCCAGATTCTCAATTGTAACACTCATTATGTATAGTTCGAAAATTTGAGCACTCTGGTCAATCGGATGAAACCAATTTTTACTTTATCAAGTTTTCGTGGCAAGAAATTTTCGAGATACCAATCCAATTCGTTAAAAATACTCGACGCTAACCGACCCGAAAATTTCGAATACCCACTCGCTCGTAATTATTTCGTAACCACAACGATGGCGATTACTATCGTTATTTCGTTCCCAGCGACGATTAATCGAATCGACTTCGCCTTCCTCGCGGCGTCACTTTTGCTTTCGTTACCGAACAGCTTCCTCTTCGGAAGGAACCTAAAAGAATTTCGACGCGTTACAACGATTCGATCACAGACGGGCAAAATTCTTATTTAAACGAAATTGTCGAATAACGAATAAAAAATAATACAGCTTTCATTGTTTGGTTAATAAGAATTATAAAATGAAACTGTGCTTCCTTTCGAACGAATGGAAACTTATTCGTGCAAGGTACGTACACCTAATCTCGACACTAATGCTAGTCAGTCATCGACACTTTAAATTTACTAATACGATCATTAGGACCACGGATTTTATTTGTTTATTATGTATACTTATATGGAAAACATCTGCATGAACGTATGAAGAATATATTTTATAAATTATTATAATAATATCAGTACTTCATATTGCATAAGTGCATACTTTGCATAATTGCATTTGCTACAAATGTATAAAATCCGTAATGTAATGAATATTAACGATTTTAGAGAAGTATTTCGTTTTTTTTTGTTTATTCTCAATATATATGTTTACAATTTATTGGTATTGGCAACTAAAATTTAAATATGAAATCAACATCCTAGTAATTGAATTTTATAAATAAATGTTAGAATGCCAGTTAATATATTTTTCATTGCTTGTGGGATATTTGCATATTGACGTTACGACGCTTGAGAGATAGTTAAATACGCGGACACTGATAACTTGTTCCTTAAGAATTTAAACATTAGGTCATAACATACAAAATGTCCGATTCCAACATTCTACGATTTCTAAATATATATTACGAAGAAACCTATCGTTTGCTTGCATTGTAAATCACATAACGTTGAAAATCATCATTTTGTTATTTTTTAATCAAATTTTAATTTTCTTATAAACAATTACATATTTTTTAAGAGAATACACTTTCCTACATTACAGTATATATTATGTCGTCCCATAAGTTCGTCTCGAGTTTTGTAGTAAACTGATAAACATTGTTTTATTAAACTTTCTACATTACGATTTGTTGGTCAGTTAATATCTTGTAAAGTCTAAATTTAACACATGTAAAACTTAAGCAAGATTTTCTGCATCAGACGTTAACTAAAAATTAGAATTTAATTAACAGAATAAAGTTATTTTTGAAATTAAGTAAAATTTAACTAGAAATTATTTATTAACTACATTTCAAAATACATATAGAAAATAGTACAAATTGTAATAGTCGTTATATTAATCGAATAGTAGATGAAGCACTCTTTAAAATGAAATTTGTTTCAAGTCGATTGCGTGGTTAGTTACGGAGATATAAGGGTTCGAAGAATTTGTTTACTTTTCAGTGTTTACGTCGCGAGGTTATTGACCTCACGTGCTCGTAGTAAACATTACGTCACTCAGTCACGACTCACGTGCGAGAGAGAGAGAGAGAGAGAGGCCGATACGTAAGATGAAGACAGAGATAATAAAATTTAAAAAATTACCCTTTCATTAAAACTATGATATCTCCATAACGGGGAAATCGGATCGACATAAACAAAAAATCACTTTAAAAGAGAAGCTTCAAATGATGGTTCAGTTATGCAGAAAGCATGAGTAGTTTCGAAACTGCACGCGTCTAAAGTTTTGGTATTTTTAACACGCATTGGTAGACTGTTTATTAAAATATTACAACAAATAGTAAATTATTTAGATAAGAAGAATTCAAGTTCAAGAATTGTATAAAATTCATTAATTACTAAAGAAGTTTATGAATGAAATGCGTTAATACTTTTCTCTGTTTTTGGACTTGGCCGACATATATTAATATAAATATAATATAAAGTAATGAAGTCTTTTTCCTCGTTCTATGTTCCTTGAAAAATGAAATTTTTAATTCGAATGATCTTAAATTATTATTGATGTTATTAAAATTATACAAAATCGCTTGAAATCTGTAATCATAGCACCTTAATCTGAAGTGGATAAACTCGGAACAAACACGGACATTTCATTTGTTACGACCTGATATAAAACAAACTATTATTTGTACAAAAATAGTAAAAGATATTGTACTCCGTAAAATGATTTTTCTCATTCGATAAGTCCTTCAATTACATACGTGAATACTTAGATAACCTTACTTACATACTTATACATATTTCATACATGTGTATATACTTGATCCTATTTTCATAAAGAAGTTCAAATGGATTAATGTTGTGCACCAAATATATTATAGAGAGAGAGAAAGATCAGTTTTGAAGTAGCATTAAGTTAGACATTTCGATCAAACTTTAAAACATATGTGTTCACGATTGGTCCAAAACATAGTTATCCCTACTAATAACTATTATAAAGCAATGAAACACAACTGTGCAGATATAACAGTTGTGTTCCACCGTTTTTCCATTGGCAAAAGTAATAGTATAACTATTTCTTGGCCCAGTGTACTATAGAATCACAAAATCATAAAATCAAACTACTTTGCAAAAGATGTTATTATCATAAATACATTTTTATTTTTGTATCTATGCCGAGAAATCTACTTTTTATTATCTCTAAAAAATGTAATCTTTCAAAAGACACAGCTGTATCACAATATAAACAAATTCTGTTGCCATTTAAAGTGACGATCGTCAACGTGTGTCGATAATCGGTATATTAACCGTAACTGTAAATCGTACAAAGATTGCAAGTAAATTGCTATAGTGAATTTTTATTCGTTATCTATCGTTCGAATAGGATTTCGCCCATCTTCCAGATTCGGTTGAGCCGTTAAATAAGGCACGACTGTGACTAAAAATTTGAATCCATACCATTTGCACGACGCGCTCAGGACTGTTTCGGTGTATCGCGACACTCGTACGCTGTGTACAAGCACATAAACACATGGTAATGTATCCGATGCCGTTTATTTTCATTCAGACAAATGACTCACGTTTCACATATTAACACGCAGCCGCGATGCGTTCTCGCGGTACTTCCACATAATTCAATATAAAATCGTGCGTCTCTGTGTTACGCTTGTCCTCTGGTACGCGGCGAACGGTACACGCGCGGTGTGTAAAACGTGTGGCACGCGTGGTGCGGTACTCTGTGCCTCGTCTCGCGGTTACGGAAACGAGTTGTGTTCACTGGCGTTCGTTTTGTGGTCTTTTTGCGTTGCAATTCGACAGAGACAGAGGAGACAGAGAGAGATAGAGATAGTATATGATACACAACAACGCCCGACAAAGAATCCTAGACGATCGACACCGATCGGGGGAGGGGCCGAACGATTTTCAGAACGCGCGGAAATTTTCGGGACTCTACACTCTTTTCGAAAACACTCGTCCCCCGAAGTGATACTCAGCCTTGCCTTCAGCATTTTTTTTCGACTTTTTCGGTTTTTTTTTTTTTGTTTGTTTTTGTTTTCTTTTCATTTGCTTGGTGGTCGTTTCCCGTTTTTGTTCGTTTGTTGTACCAGAGAGGTGTGTCACGGGCATTTTAATTTACCGTTTCGTTTAGCGTTCTTAGCGTTCTTGTTGGCGGCTCGAGAACGCCGTACCAGCGCAGTTACAGTGCGACGTTCTCGAGAATGGATCAGGAAAATAAAAATGTGCTATAGACATGTCTGTCTGTCTGACGTTCGGAGGAAAACGTGGATGGAGTTTTTGAGCGCACGATTTCGTTCTCATTTCTTTTTTTTTTTTGTTTTTTTTCTGTATTATTTTTAATTAATTTATGAAAGAACGTGGTATTTTACGCGCGAGGGTAATTTTTGATGTTCACTGTTTTTTCTGTTTATTAATTCGTGTCCGTATGCGCGCGCGCGCGTGTGTGTGTTATGTTATTTCCATGATATTATCCACGTATTTTTTGGTCACATTTTCCTCGTTAATAAAATATTGTACCGATGATCCATTCGCGTAACTGCATTTTACAAGTTTAATCTATTTCGATATTAAGAAATTAAATAATAATAGCATTAGTCGTAATAATATCAACGATAATAGTAATTATTATTAAAGCTATAATAATAGGTAAATCATATGACGATGCAGTATTTTTAACTATAGTATTGATAATAGTAGTAATAATCGCGCGACAAATTACGAGTAATATAATGAGAATAATGAAAATATCGTACTCTTAGAAATCTTAGAAATCTCGTAAAAATGTATGAACTAATAGACGACAGAAAAAGTTCGAAAAGGAGAGCTTAAACCATCGAGAAGTTTAAACAGAGAATTTTTCGTCATTCCATTTCACCACAGAAAATTACTTCTCACGTGCTTGCACAGCGTAGATCGTTAAGAAATCATGCACGATTTTTACTCTTACATTATGGATCGCTATAAACGGAAAAGTTCCGATCGAAGACATAATTTTGTTGAAAAGAATACGAACTAATTAATAAAATTCACTCGTGGACGTACCGAGCCTCACGAAACGTATATCCTTTTCAAGAAAACGGTACTTTGTAATCGCAACTTTTCCTTTCGAATTACATCCATGCTTAGCCAAAGCATCTTTCGACAAAAATTACGTATTGCACGAAAATTAAGTCATCTACGATTCTTTCGTTTTACTTTGAAAGATAAATCAGTCGTATTTTGGCCAAGATCTATTTTCAGACATCTTTATATATATAAATATGTTATTCACTGCTAAATTAAATTCTCCTACAAGAATGAAATATTTGTATGCAAAGTACAATTCAGTGATTACGTGGATGTTAATGCATAAATTATACAATGATGTGCATACATCTGAATAAAACATTCTAATTGGAGTGTAAAATAAATAATATACTCGCATAAGAGACTCATTTATTTAAGGCTCAAAGATCTCAATTTGCACAATGAAATTGATACACTGACTACATTCGCTTAGATCTGCAAAGGTTTCTCGTGTTCATATTTTCGCGAATCACAGAAGTGTTCCTGTTACTGTAACAAAATGACAGAATGCAACATCAATAAAGTAACAAATTATAATATGTATATATAAAAAAAGAAAGAAAAAAAAATTATCATTTTCTGAGAGACCTTGGTTCTTTCAAGAGTACAGTGTATTACATCTTTGTTATTGTATACTTTAATTGGTGCAAGACACGAGTAGAGAATATACAGATTCTAATAACGATGAATAGCGAGTAAAACTTGAAACAAAATAAACTACTATCCCAAAATTACAACGAATATATACAAACAACAAAATGGTCCCTAACCACTGAATAGAATTAACTACAGCATTCCCAAAGTATCTACTGTAGCACGTCTTGAATCAAATATTGCGCAGACTCGCGGCAGAGATCTACTCGAAGGCGTTATTTCAAAGGATGAGCTGAAAAATAACTATACAATTTATAGTGAAAGTGCCGCGTCGTGGTATTAATGTTAGAATTGCAATGGTTTGTACATGTACAAAAATTGTATTCGTATACAGCGCTTCATTTCGTATAGTCTGCCTTGCAAATACTCAGTTCCTCGATTTGATAGTCGTTATTATATCATAATGTACTATTCGTTTCGATATCTGTACATGTATCAGAGAGTGAACATCAAATACCTCGAAACATACGATGACCGACATGCCTTTAACACCAATGTAATTTGAAAAAGGTAAAGGAAATGGTACGAAAACCAGGATCAAGGAGTATAAGATAGAGAACTATGTCTGAAAGGGGACTGAAGGCAGTCAAACACCTGAAAAAACTCACCAACAGGTGATTGATGGTTTGAATAATCCAGATGCCAGTCCCTTGTTGCATTGTTAAAGCTATACGTTCGTTTCTGTGAATAAAAACTAAAAAGCGACTCCAATACGAAACTCATTTAACGTAACACATTCGTCAAAACGATAGTCAATGGCTTTCTTAGGGATGTTTTATTTACAGATCATTTCTAAGTAATCATTACGAATCTATGCTATTCAATGTCTGGTTCTTTTGTTCTGTAAATGAAACATCAAATCTCTTATGCCAGTGCCGGTGATTTTCGTTCGTTACCCGACTGGTTATTGATACGATACGAAATTAAAAAAAAAAAAGAATCTTAGATTTACGCGGAAGTATAATAATATTATATGCATCGGAATTGAGCTCCATTTAGTAACTGATATTCAAATAAACCGTTTAGCGTAGATATTATAAATAATATTAAGTAATGTTATTATAAATATGTTCTAAATAACTGAAGCAAATAAAACGCATTACCATATTAGGATTATACTTTCTCAAACTCAAAGACAGATCGCTTCATGTAGTTTACACCGACGCGAGAGCAACGAAGCGCACGAATTATTTACAACTTAAACATACCTATTTTTTTTTTTTTATACTTTATCTACTTATGCATTAAAGAAATGCGTTTTTTTTTATACAAGAATACGTTTCATATTCGTAACATTGAAACCTTCGTATTTTTTTTTTTTTTCATTCTTTTTTCTTTTAGTCGAAAATTCTAATATAAGCTTCTAATTCAAAATACCGTTACCTATATTCACATATCAATACGATAACACGAACTGTTTTCTAGACCCGTTACCGTGACTTCTCTTGTCTTCTTTTTTTTTTTTCCATAATTTCGTGAATAAAAATGATAATAAGCGATATGTACAAAATAAAATATAAAAATAAAGTTATAAACCTTATAGATAATGATAGATTTAAATTTCATGTTACTTGTAATCATTCCGTTAAGAATTCCCAAATTACTATTCGGTTTATAATAAAAAAAGTAACATCACAGACACTGGCACAATCATTAATTCGTAGCGTAATTGTTCCCATTGACTGTTGATGTTGTTTATAAATACTAAAATCAGAGCGTCTGTCACACAGTCGTGCATCGATTGATTCCAACAGGTAGCTTTCTCCAACGCATGACGTTGCTTTGTTTTTACGAAACGGGGGACTTACAGTGGGCAGTGGATGGTTGTATGAGATGTGATTACAGTCTAGATGGCCCAGAGGAGCATCTGTGGATCGATGTGAGGTAGTAATCCTGCAGTGGTCAAGTGCAAACGTATCCTTCCTGCGCTACTGTAGATGCACCAGTAGGTCCATCCTGAAACACGTTAAGTAACAAAAGAAATTTATTAAAGACAATTTATGAAATAACTAAAAAATCAAGTACATAAAAGTAAGGGAAAGAAGCGGAACGTTGCAAATAAATTATACACAATATATCCGCTCCATACCTCCTTGCGTTTCCGATTTACATTAAAAAAATGCTTTCTTCTCCAAGGAATCCAAAATTCACTTACTATGCTCTATTTTTATATGTAGTTACCTAATTTTGTTCTATGTTGATTATTGTTCATTATATGTACAATGTCTTACATCCTTAGTAGCTGTCAATGTTTGTTTGTATTCATCCAAGCTAAATCCAGAATTGCTATCTTCTCCACAAGATTGAACTACTAACGATCCATCTTCTCCCTGAATGGACATTGTATACATTAATACCATGTTAATTGCATTTATCTTGAACTTGTACTTCATGAAACATCCGTTATTATGTTCTTCCTAATACGTGCCTGTGTCACTAGCTGTTCGCCGTCATTGACCCTTCGTTTTTTTACACATGTGTCCGGGGTTTGGTCTGATAATCTCTTCCTACTTGCTGTATCTCCTGGGTTTCGTGGTGAAATACTACCACTGTTTCCATTACCAGCGATATTTCCATTTTTATGCACGCTGCCAGAAACCTGTTGGTGTTTGTGTCAAAATTATGTAAACAGTACGGTATGAAACATATATTTGAATTGTTAGAAAACAAATTTATCTGTACTCGTACTTTTCTTTCGCGTTTAATCAAGCTAGGAGAAACATATGTGTGTAGGTCCTTTCGTTTCACATGTTTCGCTTCTATCCACATGCCGTCCTTCAACATGTTTAATTGCTCCGCTTGCCTTTGAACTACAATATCATACAAAATTGTTGAAATTAGGAAGAACTTTTATAGCATGACACACATTATCAGCAAGGATGGGCAAAATGTATTTCAGAAAATATGCATACGACGAATACCTTACTAATTTCTATATTGTTTATAGCCAAATGCTTAAAAGTATTCGCTTGTCGTATAATGTAGCTGTGCAACAATAATAAACTTTTATTCTTCACCATCAAATACAGAATAGAAAGATATCTTGTAATTACCTGGTCAAGCAATGCCAAATATATTAACATTTCATTTTTAATAGCTGTATATATGCAGAATACTTTATTCGGTATCAACATTTAATACATTATTATTTTTGTAACAAACAACGAATAAATTTTTATCTGAACAATTAAATATGCGTTACAGACGTCTATGTGATATTAGTATGATGTTCATGAATGTACGGAATTCCGGTCGGGACGTGAATTTTTTTCTCGAGATCGAAACGAATTCCCGAGAATGTTTAAAATCTGAAAAATGTTCAGGATCCCGAAAATACCGCGACTTCCGGTATTTTCAGATTTTTCGATACTTTCGAGAATTTCGAGAATCCGAAGACCATTGTATTCTCGAAGATATACATATCTTGTTAATCGAAGAGGTTTATATTAATAATATTGTAGAAAGTATTGCGAATTTCGAGAATACTAAAATGTTTATTTATCTAATCTGTGCAACGGAATTTTCTTTTACAAGTGAATTGTAAAAGGTAGGGGATAGAATAAAAATAGTCTCGGTTATTTTCGAGATCCCGAGCATTCTACAAAGTTTTTTTTACTGACGAAACACCAATACAGTATAATTTATTTGATATTAGATGATATGTTGAATGCACCATACAGGAGTATTTAATATTCAACAGTGTAAATGAATACAAAATATAAGCGAATATCGATATTCAATCACCACAGAATACAGTATTTCAGATTGTTAGATTTCAATTACAAAATCATTTAAATATGCCCATCCCTGTTTATAAATGTTTAATAATATATTCTTACTTGAGTCCACAAAAGATTTTATATCGTATGTGAGATCAACATTCAAGTTTTCACTTTTGGCAAAAAGTAAGCCGATGAACCACATGGAGCAGTGCCCCTCTGGTTCTGGTTCTAATGGTGGAAGTGCTTCTGGGTTTACATGCGCCAATGTAATGTGAGGATTCCTTTCCAGTGTTCCTGTTTTTAAGTTAGGATTTTGCCATTTTGGCATCCGTGGATTATTAGCATTGCAATATTATCAAATGAATATACAAATTCAAAGTTTGACATTAAAAAAAGACACAAATTAAAATCGACATTTGTTAAATTTAATGATTTTTAACTGCTTACTCCTGTGAAAGATGCATACATTTATCTGAAGACCTATGAATAATTTTTTTTAAGTTTGTATTCCAATAAAAAATAACCTATTTTAATCTACATCATTTGTCTGGAAATAAACTAATACCAAAAGCAGATAAAATTCTTGATATGATTGACAAATTTACAAGATGCTATGTGTCATATTGTCTTCAAATTTTCTGTATATGCATTCATGAGGAACGATATTAAACGATTAAAAATAAAAATTAATATTTCATGTCCATTGTTTCGCACTATGTTATAAGTGGAAAATAATGCTTTGCGTATTCATAAACAAATTTGAACATGCCCATAGAGTCCAACAGAATATATTTATTGTTGTATTCAATATATTACCTATCAAATGCCGTATTTTTGATTCGACAAGCCCACACCATTCAAGTTGCTCTTCCGCGGCTATACTTCTGGCCAATAATGCAATATAATGTTTGTATTTGCCAAAAAAATTAGGAGGTTCGAATAACTTATCCCACGTTGCTTTCCCCATGATAATTTCTTCCGTGACTGACACCCCAGTTTCAAATGCTTCTTGCATAATGGTTCTTGTTGAAACCGACACGTTAAACGTTGAATTTTGTTGAGGATATGCTGGTGTAATTATTGGCATCAAATGATATCTATCTGATATATTTACCTTCGAAAAAGAAATATACCAGAGTAAAAAGCTTCTAGTATTAAAAAATGAAACTTATTCGAATGTATATGCGTATGATACAAGTTCTTACTCTTGGATCCCAAACTGGAAACCCTAAATTAACATTATCAGGTTGCTTTAGAAGGACTGGTTGCGGCCACTTCCACTGAGAAAATACAAGGAAAAATTTTTCTATTAGTGTTGCTGCAACAGCGTTCGGGTAAAGTTGACACGTTCTTGCAACCAACATCGCCCAAGATACACCTCCTAGATAACCTAGCACATTACTATAGATGCCATTTCCTAAGAATACAGAAGTAAAATAAAAGGTATGAAAAACATGTTATTTTATGAAATGTAAAAATAAAACAAAGTAACAATCTTACGTTTTGCCCACAACTTAATAGCTCTAAGTGCCAACCTAAAATTTTCTATATTAGGTACTAAACGTAATATTTCGTCTGTTACTCTGCAACCGTTAAGACTCCTCACACATTTCTGATCAAGATTTTTCAAAAGCATATCATCCTTAAGATCCTATATACACAAACAAAATTTATTGTTAGTTATACATGTATAAAACATAATTTAAACTGTCGCAATATAAAATTGTCTAGAAATAATTACTAACCATTGAGTCTGGAATTTCTTTAAGAGCTAGTTTTGCAAATAACATGTCAATTTCAATACCATCAAAATTCATTTTTATAACTGGTACAAACGCTTCTTCCACTGCCTAAAAGATATTAAATAATGTAATACAAAGCATTGTACCTTTAATTAAAATACACAGACATTTTATATAAGACACATCGACGATGTATTTGCATAGAAGGATTTTATGCTTTCTGTAAACTATAATAATTACTCTAAATGTAAATTGCAATACTTACTGTGCAAATGCTATTTGAAAACAAATTCATATTAAAGGGACGATTAGTTACTACTACTATTCAATATTATTTTAAATACATACCCTTAAATCTGTAACTTCTTCTTGCATTTTCAGCAACTCAAAGAAGGATGTAAAATAATCAGACCTATAGATGTGACGAGGTACAACACACAGAGCATCTATATCAGCACCTTTGTGATGTACCCCTAACCTATATGAACCGAAAGTATATATTTTACCGCCAACTAGTTCAACTACATTGGGTGGCATATTTCTGGCGATGCTCGTGTCCCTTATCCATTGCTTCACCAGTGTATTTAGTTTGCTAATTAAATGCAACAATTAGTATAACTTAAACATACTATTTGTTATAAACACTATGCAGTAAAATTATATGTAAAAAAATACCTTAAAATTTCCATTCTATGATTTAATTCTTCTTCCGATTCAAATACATTGTAAGGTTTCAATGCTTCCTTTAATTCATTTGTTCTTGTAAGATCACTGGGTTTCGGTTCTGCTACACTAATAGCAGATGTCATACCCAATGTACGAAGATTTCTTTCGTTTGAAGAATTTGTATTTGAGTTGTTACCTTGCGATGACCACATTTTGACATTCATTAATTTTGTTTTAGATCTATAACGGAACAACTTGTTACATTCAATTATATTTGCTTTACTAAACAATGAGAAAATACAAGAATTTATATTTTAAATTTAAATATTCAACAGGCTTGTATTAAAACTTGATTATATAAACAATTAACTATATCAGAACATACATAGTTGTCATCTAAATATTAAAAGTAATTTTATAGAAGCAAACAATTAATAGCATTATTATCAGAATATATGTAACAAAACAATTCCATAAAAAAAACTAATTTAAAATAAATAAGTTATTCATTATATTTCAAATATAAAACAAACAAAATACATGTAAATTTATTCAAACAATATTATTTTTCTATTAAATGTAACATTTATCAATATTCTTTGTAAGAATATGCTATAACTTACTTTGAAGTGAACAACATGTAATATTTGCTTTCACTAAATAACTATGTTTAAAACTTAAATTACATGTACAGTAATATAAAATGTAACAGCAACATGTGTAATACAAAAAAAAAAAACAATATTCAAGAAAAGAAAATAAACAGCATTGTATCATAAAAAAAAAAGTAGAGCATAAATAAGAGGGATAAAAAATAAAATTTATACGTTTATTTTACGAAATTTTTTGATATTTTACAAAATATGCAACAACCTTAATAGTTATTCAACGCGCAAATTTCGCCTACAACATGCGCACATGCTAAAATGCACAAAAAAAGTATGAAAGTCGTGGTTTTCTTAAATCCTTACCAATTAATATTTTGTCAAAGATGCTATGACATGATAAAGACAGAAAAACTTTGGATGTGTCGTCAGGTTATAAAACGCGCAAATGCTCGAAATAAGGGTGCATTACGTCCATCCAACGGTCACGGACGATTCCTGAAAAGGAAATTGTACTCCTAGCGCAAATAACACGTTCTGAGGGTTTTGCTTAGTCGTAAACCAGCGTGAACAACTTGTAAACAATTTATGAGGTAGCAAAAGAATTTCCAGAAACGAAGGTCCATAAGTCATAGATTGTTCGCGTCTATCTGATTATTTTATGTATTTTTAACGGAAAGCGATACCCCACAATATTAATCGCACTACACTTCGTGCACAGGACACTTACGTACCGCGGTGTACCGTGTAAATAAATAATTAAACGTTATTACTTGAAAATAATGGACACACGTATACCCGCACCACACCACCTACAGTATAAACATGGCGTCCCATGACGGCTCACTGTGACCATAAAAAACTACGTATATAGAATTGCATCTGAATCGAAGATAACTCTTCGAACGATGCAACCGCCGTATGGCGCCAAAACAGAGAACCAACAAAGTGAATGTTGCATTATTTATTTACATGCATGATGAGGCAAATCTACTAATATGTTAACATTTTATAATTACCCGATCTAATTTTAACATCATTTTGAATTTTTATAATTTCTAAACACTGAATTGTTTATATTCTACAAGTACTGTACTTTTAAAACCACGTGTCATTAGAAGTGCAGGAATTGCACCGAAGAGTTCGCGCTAAATCGACAGGAAATTTCTTGTAAACGCATAGCTCATGACTTGCATCTCGAACATGCTTTCATTGTTACATGTTATTGCTTACTTCTATCGTATCCAAATGTTATTGAAACATTATTTTATGTTATTGAAACCATACATGAAGTTTTACGTAACATAAATAATTTTATATGTATAATTTTCCACTGACAAAACCATGCAATTCGCAATGAATGTAAAGGTAATTTCCACATTGCAAAATCGGTGTACCACATATCAGTGTACATACTTAAGTCCAAAGATATTCCATTACATTTGTATATTTTATTTGAATTATTACTTTAAACGTAAATTCTGTTATTGCGGTAGTTATTATTTTTTAATAACGTAACGTAGTAAGAATATATCCAAAATTTCTTATAGGTTAACAAAACCATAGTAAAATAATCCGTAGCATAAGTTTTGTTTTACGAGTAAATCTTTTAGTTATGAATTAGTCATTTTTTTATACCACCCTCGTTAGAAGATTGACGAATCTAAATCTAACTGAATACGAGATACGCGGTAATCCCCCCATGATCTGTAAGGAAAACCAAAGTCACAGAGGCGACATCTAATTTTACGGCGGAATTTTATCCTGAAGTACTAGAAACACATGTAAACTTAATTAACAAAGGCTAAAAAATCTTTTCATTGCCAAACTATAGAACCCACCGCAATCTCTCTAAGATTGAACCAACATCAAAAGACAACCTTACTAAGTTTCTAAGAGAATCTAAACTTCTGTCCAAAATAATGTAAAATAGGTAGATGAAACTTGTAATCTTATTCTAGTCTCTCAGTCTGGTTTCTGTAACGTCAATCTTGTGTGGATAATTTGAGTAATTTAACTTCCTAGATATAATTATTTGCAAAATTGAAAGAACATTATTTTTAGACACACATACTTAAGAATGAAAAGGCAACATGTATTTTATTTAGACATATTAAATATTTCGTAAAGAAAATTCACAAATAAAATTAACTATTTTTTTTTCTTATTTTCCTATATTTTTATTTGTTTTCTCGTTTTCTTTCTGAATTTTCTGTTTCCTATTTCCACCTGTCTCATGTTTCTTACTTCAGTTATTCCCCTTCTTTCTACTTTTTTAACTCCTCCTCCTCCTCCTCATCTTCTCCTTCTTAGCTCTCAGCAGTCACTTACAACTAAAATTAAACTAATAAAAAAAGAAAATAAAACTAAAATAAAACAACTTAATCTCTAGTCTTAATTACTAGTTATCTCTACCCCGTTAGGAACATCCTCCTCTCCCCTCCTCTTCCACCTAACTTTCCCCATGTACCGCGACCCGACTCCTCCATCCATCTTCTTTTCTTTCTTCACAAATCCTTCCCTATCTTATCAAAAAAACCCTTCATTACCCTATACATACCCTGGTCCTATCCATCGCCAACAACCCTACCACGTCTTCCCCTACCTTCGCTATTTCCTTCACCTCCACATTCTCCTCCCCCTGCCCACACTCTCACCTTTCGTCTCTAATCAAACCTTTCCTTGCCAATGACCCTCTTAGATTATAACGATTAGCCCTTATCCTGGAGACCAGCCTAATCACTCCCCTATTCACCCCTCTTAACTTTTCAAACCACGGTTTAAACCTCTCCCCCTTACTACTGACCCAAAATGTCTTAAAATACTCCTTGCCTTTTTTCCTTCCCTTCTTTTCCATCTCCACCCTGAACTTCACCCACCCACTCTTTTGCCTTTGGTCCAACACCTCCTCAGTGGGCACCTTCATCCCCATGTCCGGTTTTTTTTTTTTATTTAACAAAAAATAAGCCAAAAAAGGCATGCACGCGTGTTCGTCATTTACATATTCTCTCGATCTTTGCGTTAGAAGTTTCAAAAATATATGGCGCCTTCTGTGAAGTGGGATTCTAACTACTAGAATGATAACAGGAGCACAGAATAGGAAAGAGGTCGACGAACGGCTGTAGAGAGAGGGGAATATTGTGCGAAAAAGACAGAGAATATGTATCATGGGTTGCTGAGAAGATATCAGTTGAGACGGCACAGGGGTCAGGGGACACGTGGCTCGCTTCACCTAACGTTACGAAAATGAATAAATTATTAAAGAAAGTAATCATGAATTACATTATCTACGTTTCTAAAATTTATTATTTCTATTTTAATTAATTATTCCTAAAGGTAAGATTTTTGTGAGACCTCTTCCCCTCTTTGAACTCACTAGGTAAATCGTATAGCCTTGCATGTTTAGTAATTTATTGTTTAGAGGACGTATTAAAACATTTATGGATACACGAAATAATGTTTATTTTTTTAAATAAAATATAATTAATGCAATTGGGTACATGCTTGCAGTCAGGCTTGAAATCTACTTCTAAACCACATAATCCCGAACCACTATGTCGTCCATTATAAAGTAAAGAAACTCCAAATCGGCAACCCACCTTCTATCTTCTTCGGTAATACGTTTAAATATTATTTCTGTGTATTAAAAAATATTTTAATTTCAAATAACTGGAACTGTGCAAATATATATATTTGTACACTATGTATTATCTTGTCATAATTATTTTATTGTTTGTGCATAGAAATATACATGCCTGGTAATATTTTTTCACAGTGTTAAATTGAAAGTTAAATTCAAATCCTTTCTATTCTAGCAGAATATATTATACACGTATACGTAATTCATAATAGATTAGTGTTTCGAAGCAGAAAAAAGAGAAAAGGAAATAAATATAATTATACAAAGGGTAATAAATAAAGAGACATATATAAACGTTTGGTAAACTCGGGCAATTAAACGTTTAACGAAACGATAGTTTTAACAAACTGGATAAAAGGAAAGATAGCTATTTATGTAGTTTGTATCATGAACGATGCAATCACGATGCAGTGGCAAAAAAAAAAAATTGTGTACATTGTATACCCTCTCAACTTTTATTAACACTGAAATAGAAAAGGTCACAATATTATATATTTAAATTAAATTCTCAGTTACGACAAAGATCGAAAACGCATTAATTCCAAGAGGATGGAAATCGAATATCGGCAAGTACATACGTTTCGGTTAAAAAATCGTTTTTCAACTCTTGTAAAAAAAAAAAAAATAAATAAACAATCGATCGGTTAATTTTAAAGGGTGTCCAGAAGGGAATCTAAAAGATCCAACTGATTCTCGTCCCAGCCTGCGGTGGCTATTAGCAAACCGGTAAGATCGTCTTCGCTTAAACTAACTTGCGTAGAGTCGGGGATTTCTGAGAGACAGTCTGGGATCGGAGGAGATACGCTGCTAGGCGGAGTCTCGTACAGCGTCGATAGACAGCTGATTGATGGCGCGCAATTCTCTTGTGCATTATTTAATACCATCGTTGTCATGGCCGTTTGTTTCTTTGATCCACGGATTCGTTGAGATATCGTTGCACGTCGTTTCGATTTTCTACCTTCTTCCATTCTTTCTAAATCTAACTTCCAGAAACCACCCTTTCCGGGCTCGTCCTTCGACCGTGGCAGCTTCACGAAACACTTATTCAACGATAGATTATGTCGAATCGAATTCTATTTAAAATTAACGAACACGTTTTAGTTTCTTACTCAGTCGTTTAAAAAGAAAAATGATTTTATCCAAATTTCTTTCTTCTTTTTTTTTTGTTTTATTTTAATTCTCGTACCTGCCATGCTGGGTCAGCATATTTGTAAAATAGAAAGTTTTCTCGAATCCATGCGTATATGTTTGAGAGGGATACTTTATTGTTGTTTGCACGCATCGCCAAACATATGATTGTAGCATACGAAAATGGCGGTTTTGCATCGGGATCGATCCGATACTTCTCAGCATTTTCAGCTAGATCTGTGAAAATAAAAAATTATTTTCTACGACAATTCTTGCGCAATTTAAGTGCTTGTAATAATTTTAATTTTGCTTTCTCGAGTATCGTTGCAGTCTCCACATCATATCAGTGTTAACTATTCGTATTTATACTAAAATGAAAATGTTTAAATAAATTATTCCAAACACTCGAGGTTACTATTTCACAGAGTAAATATTGTTTGTAAAAATAATTGTTTCTAATTGTCACAGAGATTTTTAAACTTTAGTCGAATCAATAAAGTTTTTCCTAAGCGTGAACGGTACGGGCAACAAATTTTACCATAATATAACAGAGAATTGTTTTAACGGTGAACATCGTAGGAATAAAGGAATGTTATTTACCTAATTCGGCCTTAATTAAAGGCGATAACTTTTTCCTCGCTTGTCTGGTAACGGGCGGCGGAGATGGAGAACAGGGTGGCGTTGGTAAATTAGAAGCACTCGTAATATCGAGCGATTGCAACCACGTAAGACTCGTTAACTCTGCTTCGACACCGTAGTCTTCGCTGTGCATCTTCTCCCTGATAAATGACGAATCGCGATCCGTTGGTGTTTCAATTTCGATCACCTCTGCCTTCATTTTGGTTGTTTCTCATCGCATAAGTACGAAACAGGTGACAAGAACCTGTACAAAAAGCAACCAGAACTTGAACAACGCACGTGCCACCCACCACGCACCACTTAACGTTCCCAATCAATCTTTTGTGATCTTTATTTCTATAAACGCGTCGAAACAATTTTTTATTGCCTTTCTGACCTTTTGATTTGTTACCAAAATTATTTTTCAATGATAAAAGTGTTTCACGCGAAGGCTTTTTTTAACCATGACTTTTTACATAAAAGATACTGAACAATTTAATCTATTTTAGTCTAAATGCCTGTAATTATTTAAATCTTTCACACATCTTTCATTAGAACCCATAACGCCATTTATGGCGAAGATAATATTATTTAATTTCTTTTCATTTTAATAACGTTTATACGATTTACAATTAAAAATATCGATAAATAAAAGTTGTTATTTAACGTAAATATTAAATTTAAAACGTTCGTTATAAATGATAGCAACGACGCAAAAACGCAACGATAGGGGTAGTTTAGGTATTTATGGCACGGTGTAGAAAACTCGCGATATTGAGAAAACATTCGTGCGTATGTTATTATTATTAACATTTAAATATTTCGTTTAAATGCTTGTCTTTTTCGGAATAATCTAATTAAGAAACATTATGAATCGAGATATAAGCTTATCTTTATTTTTACTTTCTAGCCATTGTAATTTACATACTCGGCCAAAAGTTTATATTATTATTATTATTTGATATATAGATATCATCAATTGTCAATAACGAGAACCTTGAAAGGTCTAAAAGTAAGAAACGAAGACTAGCATCACGGGAAATAAAACGTTTCGCGGTGGTGTAAAATTCAGATAGTTAACAATGAGAATTCGTTCCATCGATCGACAAAGAAAATTACTGTGTCCAATTGGTAGCAGTCTGCATATCCCAAGTTCACATTCTGAACTCACCGGCGTATAATACTGCGTCTGACGCGAATATATCCTTTACAAGATAATCGCCAATGCGAACGAAAATTTTTTTGATTGCTCGCGTCGACGATTAGAAAATTTTACATTCTTTGGAAAATAGGCGAAAACAAACAACACTGGACGGATAAAATACACTGAAAAACGGTAACGTGACGTTCGTACGCGACGATCACGGAGTCTCTCGATTATTTTTAACGATCAGCGACAAATTGAGGCTTCCCGATGACCCGAAACGTTCGCGGTAAATTCGTGTTTGTCGGTCTTAGCGAAGAATTTTACACGAGAAACGATTTATTATTACAGTGTATACATACGTTTCCACCTACATACACGGTAAAATGTCTAAACCGCATGATCGTTCGAATGAAACTAGTAGTACGGGGTAGCGAGAGCCCTGATAATCCCCCACTTTGAATCTAGTTTCTTGTCGTGAACCATTGGTCGTGGTCGCCGCGCGGGACAGGTGTTGGCTTCCTTTTGCAGGTGGACCATATGTACATACGTGCTATTTAAACCTACGGCACTCTTCCCTCGCAATAAACAGGGGAACCATTCCCTCGCCTTTCTTATTTATCATAATATTTGCCACGTTCTCTTTTCGCGTTTCGTTTTATCACAATTTTCTCAACCGGAAGGACACTTGTGCCACGATCATGTCAGACACGACGGTAACATACATACGTCATACAAATATATATTCACAAGTCAATAATTTTCTCACGCAGACAATTCGCTATGTTTCATTTAGATTACGTTTATTAACACTAGATTTTCGGAACCCTTCGATTTGACAAGCGTCAGACTCCATACTGAAGCTTGCAGAATTCATAAATATTATTTTTCATTAATTTATGCTGAATTTGATTAATCTAACGCTACGAATATATATCTTGATTAAAAGACAAACTGTATTTCAATATAATTGTTAATATGATAGTTTGACAAATGTCATACTCCATACTGAAGCTTGCAGACCTCATAAATATTATTTTTCATTAATTTATGCTGAATTTGATTAATCTAACACTACGAATATATATCTTGATTAAAAGACAAACTGTATTTTAATATAATTGTTAATATGGTAGTTTGACAAATGTCAGACTCCATACTGAAGCTTACAGAACTCATAAATATTATTTTTCATTCATTTATGCTGAATTTGATTAATCTAACGCTACGAATATATATCTTAATTAAAAGACAAACTGTATTTTAATATAATTGTTAATATGGTAGATTTAAATTTCTGTCCGTAAATCTAGTGTTAACTTTGTCGATCCTTCGTGTTTCTTTTGAATAATCACAATTATTCTTAATAAAATTAATCTAGCATTCGCCGTTTCTTATGAAAATTTTTAACAAACGCTTTAGAATTGCGTGGTATCGTTCAATAAACATATATTTTCATACTGAAGGTCGTACTGTTACAACTCGTTCCTTTTGTTTCAATATTCGTTAAATGATAGAGAAAAGAATGATAATTTTACTTTGACCATTTACGAAAGAAAGACGAATTATAGAAAATCGTATATCATAACGGAATAGCAAATAAATATAAACTTAATATTTTCTATTGCTTTAAATCTTCTTGTTGCTCCATTTTATTAAATTTTCATCTATTTAAATTCGCATTACGCTCATTTAAATTTTTCCAACGTAGTTTTCTGTTCCGTCTTTATAATTTGCTTCTCTTGATTTCCAATCTTCTCAGACACATTCAAAATGTTATTGCTTGCGGCTGTTCTCACTTTTCCATTTGAAATTATTAGCAATTGTTTGATGTCAATTTCGATATTCCAGTTCCACATCGAATAACGTTTCGGTCGGTGGACAGCATTATGTCCCCGAGTTATTCGGATTCGTAGAAACGCGGTTATGCTTCCACTTATGTCCTTGCACGTATTATGCATGTATACAGCAAGTCCTCGACTTGTGCGGTTTATTCATTCTGGAGTTTTCCGTGTATAAGCACACGACCTTAAAATCAGATTAGACATTTTTTTTCAAGGCAAAAAGAATTTATACTTAACAAATTCCTTAAAACCGTGGGAACGTCACTGTTCATAGAAGGCAATGCAAATAACTTGCTGCACAGTGTATGTCAAAATATAACATTTCACAGTTTCTTGACGTTTGTATAATGTTTATTTACAACGATGCTTGAATATTGTTCATTCTATACTTTTTTATTTTTTTACGGAGAGAAGGGTACACGTAAAAACTCAAAAAATAAAAAAGGGATTTTGAGCAAAGCTCTTTTTTTTTATTATTTGTTACTTCAACAAACGTTGCAATGATTAATGTTGTTACCATCGATTGAAATGCATTTTTGCTTTTATATTTTAAAATACATTGTTCGCCAACCAAATTTTCGTCTTGCAACCAAGCAATTTCGATTATTAAAAGTAACGAATGTATTTTTCATCGCTTCGATTAGGAACATTGATATTTCGAGAGAGTCCGGAGAAGTTAGAAAAGTTGGGAAAGCGTGAGAATAATAACTTTTACACCATTCTAGTGCCACGTATACCTTGCGATGAAACTTTGCTTCAACGAAAGAAAGTTTCGCTCGTATCTAGGAAAAAAGCTTTAGGACACGAATAAACTAAAAAATATTTTTGCAATATTATTTTTACGATAAAAACAAAAGAATTTATATACGATAGCAAAATTTCGCGTACAATCTCTCTGAAAATACGAGTTGGTGAGCAAAAAGCAATTTGAAAAGGAGTTTCCTCCGTGGTTTTATTTTTTATATTATCAACGGTTTATAAACTAATCGATTTACATAGGTATCTTTTGCGCGAAAGCATCGAGAAATAAAACAATAAAAGAGGTCGAACCTTTTAACCGATCGATGGCAACGTACTTAGATAATGAATAAATAAATAAATAAATAGCGGTAAGAATGGGATTAATTAGGTTTGGAAGTTACGTTGTATGTTTTTTTGTGTTAATAAAAAGCAGACGACCGTATTGAAAAAGCAGGTAAAAATCATTTGACAATAAACTAGAGGTGGTCGCATAATCTAGTCGCGTAGTAGAGGTACTTTCATTGATCGAATCAGGAAGGCAGTGACCGTCGGTTACGATATCCACCGGCAAAATGGAGGGGAAAGAAGCACAGCTATTCGACGATGCCGAGAATGGCGTGTTAAATTTCAGAACTCGGCTTATCATTGGCCGAGGTACGTTAGGATCGTTAGGGTGAAATCCCCCTGACAAAATCCCACGAAACGCAGACGCAACTTCACCCTCTACGCAGCAACCTTCACGTGGGCGTTATCCAAATATTCGACCAACCCTCTTTTCGTATAATCATGGAAGAAGATCGAAACGCCGAGGTGTTCGAATCGGTCCAAAAACAAATTAGAGTTTAGAATCAGGATCATTGTTTTTTTCCTTTACGATGACAAAGGTAATGGAGGACAGTTCGAAGAAGAGATTATTTTTTCTATCGAAATGCAACGTCTGGAAGTTGTGCAATGCTGTTTGCAAACGGCTTTCGACGAATAACGAAAGAAAAATTCATTGGAAAAAAAGATAGAAATTCAGCTGTACGTTGTAGCAAAGTTTCGTGCCATTTATGTAGTCCAAGTGGAAGTATCTACCTGCACGATCAATAATCTCCTGGGAACATCCGTTCCCCTGCTGGCTTACCCACCTGGCTACCCCTGCAGTAATAGTAACACCAGCAGCACCACCAGTACCACCAGCACCGACAATAGTAGCACCTGCTACCCTCCCCTGACCGCCAGTCGCGTCAGGTTCTGAGTCATGATCACTTTTCGTTTTATCACCATCTACCAATACCAATTGTTGTCGGAAAAATACGTTTCTCAACCTCTTCGGGGACACGCACGTGCACCCTTACTTTTTACACTGTTTTAAATATCCTATTATACATGGTATTAGACCACCACTGGGAAAAAATTTGAATGGGAGATTCTAGAGGTCAAAATAAGACGAAAATCAAGAATACTAATTTATCGATGGAGGCTTCGTTAAAAAGTTATTAACGTTTAAAGTTCCGCTCGTAACTGAATTTTTTGCTCAGAAATGGTTAGGAATTCAGAGGTATGTCTATTCACTAAAAATAATTGTACTTGACCCCTGTAACTAAATATAATTTTTTCAGAACGATTTGAAATTTTTTTTTCCGTTGAAGCACCCCCTGTCGATTTTTCATAGAAATTTGATTTTGATTTTTAATAAATTTGGTTGGCGATGTACAGAAATGTTGTCTAATACTTTTTTGTTGGCACCCATGGGCTCTACTTCAGAAAAAAATTTCAATGTGATACCTCTACTATTGCAGCAGTTATGACCGTTTGAAAATTGGACTAGTTTTAGGGGGTTTTTCTCACTTTACTATGTCAAGGAACAACTTTTTCAATATTGTTAGAATTTCTACATATTCGTCACTAAAATACGCATTGATTGCTTTTTGAAACATTAAAATCCTCCAATCCGTTCAGAAGTTATGACATTTTGAAGATTCGCATGAAATGTCGGGGTAACTTTTCTGACCAGAAATTATATTTTTGGAAAGGAATTTTTTTCTCGAAAATGGTTAGGATTTTAGGGGTATGTCTATTCATAAAAAATGATTATAATTGTCCCCTGTAGCCAAAAATAATTTTTTTATACTGATTTGAAATTTTTTAATTTCGTCGAATTTGTCCATTTACTCAATTTTTTTCTCGAAAATGGTTAGGAATTCAGGAGTATGTCTATTCACTAAAAATAATTGTACTAGACCACTGTAACTAAATGTAATTTTTCCAGAACGATTTGAAATTTTTCTTTTCGCCGAATTTAGGCACCTACCCTTGCCGATTTTTCTTAAAAATTACTTTTTCATTTTTAATAAATTTGTTTGACGCTCTACAGAAAAGTTGTTTAATACTTTTTTATAGGTATCCATGGGCTCTGCTTTAGAAAAAAATTTCAATGTGATACCTCTACTATTGCAGCAGTTATGACCGTTTGATAATTGGACCAGTTTTAGAGGGTTTTTCTCACTTTACTGTGTTAAGGAACAACTTTTTCAATATTGTTAGAATTTCTACATAATCTCCACTAAAATACGCGTTGATTGCTTTCTGAAACATTAAAATCCTCCAGTCCGTTCAGAAATTATGACGTTTTAAAGATTCGCATGTTTCAGAGAAGAATTTCTGGTCTCCCATTAGATTTTTGGTAAAGAATTTTTTTCTCGAAAGTGCGTAGGATTTTGGGGCATGTCTATTCACCAAAAATGCTTGTAATTGACCCCTGTAACTAAATATAATTTTTTTAGTATGATTTGAAATTTTTTAATTTCGTCTAAAAATTTCAGTATCTACTCGAATTTTTTTCTCCAAAGCGGGTAGGATTTCAAAGGTATGTGTATTCACCAAAAATGCTTGTAATTGACCCCTGTAACCAAAAATAATTTTTTCAGAATGATTTGAAATTTTTTAATAACTTTTTAACAAAGCCTCAGTCAAGAAATTAATATTCTTGATTTTCGTCTTATTTTAGCCTCTGAAATCTCCCATTAAAATTTTTCCCAGGAGTACCGAACACCCTGTATAAAAGACAACGTCGTCGCAAGATGGCTAAATAATAATTTAGCATTTTCTACTTCGTTCTTCCATAATCTTCGATATTACGATGGAAGTGGTAAGGGTGTATCAGACTAAATTTCGAATCAGCCCGACATTTTATTCTCCAGCGAGATAAACGTGTCCTTTCAACTTTCAATCGATCTGAATGACGTCCTGTCGATTAACCACCCTTGTACGGTGAACAACCTGCACACCTGCACGATGCGTCCCTGAATATTTCTAATAAAGCCATGTGCCAGTTCGCAGGTTCGTCTCCGGACATTATAGAAAACGTTTAGGGTGAAGTTGCGAGGGCTGTGCGCAAATGAAAGACAATTTAGAAACGTACAAGCGTGCTTGCATTTTTTCACAAATAGGATTCTTTAGACTCGGGAGGGTAAATGCTTTTAAATCCACCCACTTTGGACGATGATACTTTTATTGATCAGCGGAAAACGCCACGAGCACGATGCGCGTACAAATTTCCAGTTAATTTCGCGAGGGCGATTCAATCGGAAGATGCAAGGTGCTTCTTGTATCGAATAAAAGTACGAGACAGGGGCGAGAGACTTCGACCCTTTCGCTAAGGATTTCGACTTTAGTTCACAACTTGCTAAACAAATATCCAACTTTTGTTGAATAAATTCATACGATTGGATCTTCTCGATCTGCGCAAATTATTCGTACGGGAGAAGATGAACGAAACGATACCGAGTCGTTGGTTTATGAAAAAGAATGCATTAAAGTCAGCAAAGATCAAGAACGATCAAATAAAAAGGATGTTTCTTAAGTTCAGATTTGTACATTTCAGGGTCAAGGTGAATATTGTAATGTATTTGCAATGAGAATCTTTGAACAAAATCTTTACTATTTTTACCATCATTGGTACCAGAAACTAAAACGAAATCTGAATTATTGGAAAGAAATTTGCAAATAATACCCGCGTAGATGGGAACAAGCAACCTGTACTAAATTAATCGTGTGATCTTAGAGTTTCCTTGAAAATAGTAAGGCGACTCGAGGTCGATCACTTTTAATGCGTATCCGTAAGAAATGTTTATAGAGCATCGCACGAAGCATGATGTGGACGCGTATCAATGGGCAACCTAAAAGGCTACATACTACCCCAGGAAGTTACAAATATAGACACGAATGTGAGTATAGATTTGAGGAGAGCGATGGTGCTCTCATAAAATATTCAAGGGAATTGATTCCGACAACCACAGCAGCAGTAGCAGCGACGGTAGGTAGCGATAATATAGTTCGAACAACGATGTTGGTTGAAAATCCAAAGGAAGATGCGTGCGAAAAAGGCAATTACGCTTCTTTTATCCATTGAATCGTAAGAGAATATTTTTTACGATACATATTTAACAATTATCAAGCGTAATAAACTAAACACGATAAAATCGTCGAGAGGATCGCGTAAAGAGAGTACAATTTAAACTAATCCAAGTAATTATTATCAAATTTTTACGCTAAATGTGATTGCAATCTATGGTCAACTGTGAAAAAGTGAAAAATTATTTTACCCTCCGCGGTCAAAGACACTTGTGTTTCGGTGTCACACAAGTAATATAAAATATAAATAAACACCATTTAATATTCACCTTAACAGTCGTACCGCGTCGATCAACCAAAAGGATGGTCTTCTGGTGTTTCATTCAATCTGAAAATATTGAAAAGAAAAGAAAAAACTAAAAAAGTCTGTTAATATCTTACATTTTTTTTTTAGTGAAACTAGAAAATTAAAATTTATCGAATCTTATGCACTTGGTTCAACTATCGATGAATATGCACGCACGGGAGAATTCAATTATTTCAATCGTTGGACAGTATTTCTGTACTCGTTGCGTATTGGTCTCGGTTCGTTCGTCGCCATTTTGCAAAGTGTTGAAAAATGTTACCAAACAATTCGAATTTGAACCAACGTTACCTTTAGAAACTGCGATTACAACCACCAACCACCGGTGCCACCATTCTACCGCCATCTCCTTGCTCAGGTGAACGATACCGATACCACAGCTACACATCAAATAGGTATCTTACACCTTTATGCAGATATATGTACATTTCACAAGCCTATCGATCACGGTTAACATTCCTTTCTTTTTATGTATCTTCTATAGATATCGCGTCTATGCAAATAATTCGTTTTTACCAAATGAAGAATAAAGAAAAATGAAACAGATTGTACGGTACATACCTACTTGAATAAATAATGTATGAATTTATCATAATGAACATCATCCAAACATTCTTTTCGACAATCTCGCTTTTGTTTTTGCACTTCTTTTTTAATGCAAATAAACCAGACACTCTGAAAACATACGAAATCTTTTATTCTTCACACACGCGAACGAAGATTAATTCAAATTATTGAATTAACGTGTTCGGTAAAATATCAGTCAGTAATTCACACAACTATCATACGTCTAGATAAATGAATAAATATTATATTTTCCGGTAAATATAATCTCTTTAATGCCTGTTTTAAGAATAGACATAAATGTTTTTTACATACGTAATTTATATTTTGCTCCATTCCAAACTGTCGATGTGTAAGGTTCGCGTACGAATGTTTTGAGAAACTCTATCGTTTGGGCATCTGTTAAAAATTTGGTAATTTGATGGTATGGTGAATAATGTGTATATACACATACCTATAAATGCGATTAATGTATATACAATAGATAATATACATATTAAATTTAACGGAGTAAGCTTTCAGTCAAATATGATTTTATTCAATTAATGCGATCAAAGTTGAGTGAATTGTACAAGAATTGAAAATGTATTTGACAGAAAAGGAGAAGAAAAAGTTAAGGAATACGATGATTTGTATCCTAATCGACACGAATTACTTTTCCTTCTCCTTAATTTCTTGATAATTTTCATTTACATTTTTCTTCTTCTATACTACAAAAAGAACAATCGTGTTTCTTTGCGTTCTTTGTTGACCCAAACAATACACACGTACGCACGTTAGTCATAACGTCATAGAGTTGCGAAAACTATAGAAACGATATTATAACGTATTGCATATAATAATTCAAGCGTTAATTTGGTGGGATCTACTGGAAGGAGTTGTAAAATTTATAGTCTAACGGATGTGAAAAAAGATAAGACGAGAGCATGAGAACGTGAAGGGTTACAAGTGAAAAAAGTTGAGAAACTGTGTTATCGTCATATTCTTATTCCATACACTGAATACCACATTTTTAGGATTACGCCATTCTCATCCTCAGGATTCTTATACACGAAGCGAATAATATGGATTCAGTTTTACAAAGTGTTGTCATAATATAATTTGAATGAAAAAGCCGGTTTCGAATGTTCACCCTATGCATTATTCTGCAAATGACAATTTGTCATTAGAACACTTCTAATTGCTATGTATATAAGAACTCTGTGACACGATAATACATGATTCTACAGAAAATTATTTATTATCAACAATGATCGATGTTGATAAATTTTACTACCTACGCTAGAATTGAAGTGCAAATGACTTGCTCATTTACAATAATCAGTTTGAAAATTTGAAAAATAATAGAAATTAAGGTACAAACGTGGATCTTTTTATATTTTCAATTTAATGCCGATTGGTAGTAAAAGGCGTCAATCCCCTGAGAACCATGTTATCGAGAACGCCACTTATATACGCCGCAACGTCGACCGTATCTTCTTCTGCCTTTCTGATAAAAGGATGCTCTAACAATTTATTGTACTTTGGCCGTTGCGTCTCTTCTTTAATTAAACTGTAACGATAAAAAGATAAAAAAAATAATTATTTAATCGTAGCATGAGCCAATAGAATTCATAGTTGTTTACTATATTAAATCTACTTACCATGTATTGACAAAGTTTACAAAATCCATAGTAAAATGGTTTCCATTTTCGTTTGGGGATAACCGTGGTGGATCACCTTGAACCACTTGATAAAGCTGCTCAAATACTGAATTCCACTTTGGATATGGAAAATAACCAGTCGCAATTTCCATTAACGTAATCCCTAATGACCAGACATCGCTTCTAACATCATAACCTCTTGCACGCTGAGGGTCTATCCTTTCTGGCTGAAAGATTATATTACAATTAACTGCTTCAATTAATAAGCATTAGATCCATAAAATCTTTCGAATACTCAGCATTTAATCTATTAATTTACGTACGGCCATATACGGTCTGCATCCAGCGTCTCGTGTGCGGGCAATAGAATCTACCAATTGTCCAGATATACCAAAATCGCAAAGTTTTATATTACCGTGCCGATCTAATAGAATATTACTAGGTTTTACATCCCTATGAATTATTCTTAACTTTTCCTTGAGGTAATTCAATGCTTTTACCGTAGCGACAGTAATTTTTCCTAAAATACGTTCTGGTATTCTTTCCTTTAATACCTCATGAATAAACTTATAAAATATATCCAATGAGGTGTCCATAAGTTCCATACATATCCAACAATCACCCTAAACAAAACAAAACAAAACGCAACGCAATGCATGGTTAACAGGTATACCTATAATTAACCGTTACTAAAGACATACTTCTTTGAATAAAGCTCCATAAAACTGCACGATACATGGACACTCATTAGACTTCATTACAACTTCTAAATCCATTAGTAGTTGGTTTTGTTCCCGTTGATCCACCGTAGAACGAATTCTCTATAAATAAATTATTATTATAGTTATCAATAGGATAATATTTTAGTTTGAATAACATTAAAGTATATACCTTCACAGCCATAACAGTATCACTTATCCTATGAATCATCTTATTTACAGTGCCAAAGCCCCCTCGTCCTATTTCTCCTACATCCTGAAGATCTTCGCTAGTGAAATCGTATACCACATTCGGCGATAACTGTAATTTTCCAGTACTTTGCATAGACTGGCACATTCGTAGTTTATCCCTATAACATTATGCATTCTTAATATGTATGAACATCATTGGAATATAAGTAATGTTTAGTAATTAACATATGTAATTTTTGTTACCTTGTTTTGTCAGGGAGATCTTGCGGAATTATAGAACGTGGTCTCAATGGTAATTTCGGCAAAGGTAAAGGCAAACTTGGACGAAAAGATCTATTATTAAATGTGATAATAACTGTACAAAAGATATCGTTTAAAAACTATAATTTAAATATTCTGTATCTTTGTTTCAATAAATATCTTACATTGGTGGACAAGCTGTTGCTCCGGTCGAGTTGGAGATGGAAGAGTTTGTTGAATTACTAAACGACATATCGCTTCCTTGCGTTTGCAAACTGGACTTCAATTGCCTTCGCTTGTCTGTTATAAAACAATTGCAAGTATTATAAAAGTTAAATGTATATATATAGATTACATTTAATATGTATGTTTTATACATATTATACCTGACAGTTCATTTTGAACATCACTGATGGATCCAAAATCCAAACGTAAAGAATTAAATGTTCTGCTGGAACCTAACATTTACAATAAAATTAGTCAAAATATTGACATTATCATAAAGATAATACCGTATAACATTTATTTATATACCACTATGTTTGTCTCTGAGTCTACATATTAATATAAATATATATACACATATATGTATGTATGCTATACGTATCTTTACATATATATACTTGTACATATACACACGACATATGTGCGTGTGTACGTAGAATAAAATTATATGATTTCTCAAAAATAAAGAAAGTAGCATGTAGGTTATGTAGCTAAAACGATTATTGCATTAATGAATAAACTTTCTAGCCTTTTAACTTACTTTGATTCGTTGGAATTGAGAAATTCCCTCGATTATCTGTCATTTTGAAAATTCTCAATGCCTAACTACTAGAAGAAGAACCTCTTAACGAAGGCACTTCTCTTAGGAGACCTTTCTGCAAGATTTGAACAATGTAACATATGTGTTCTGCTGCAGACGCACCATTTGTACAGTTTCGTTCTTTTGCAAGTATCGCGCACAGAAATCCTATTCTTTTACTGTCTTTAAACACTTTAGTTACCGTAAATGAACTTTCTTTCTATAGTGAAAATGAAAGAGCACCTCACCGTAGAGCAGATCTGTCGCGACCACTTATATAGTTGACGGCTGCGTCGGCGTATGCATACGTGCTATTTCGTGTAATATGTATGATAAATGTAAAAAAATGGTAATGCTAACTTTACATTTAACTATAATTAAACAGCTCAATACTGAGAAAAACCTTTTCTCTTGGATTGCTTTTCATTTTTTATTTATTTTCATTTCATATAACGTTTGACAGACCCGTACAACACAGAAGAAATTCACAAACTATCATAGTTCTTCTTTTTATCATATCAAGCGCTAGTAGTAACTTGTCACTTAAATACTATATAGAGGGCCTCGAATCAAACGTATACAAAGATTATCGTTGACTCTTATTGGTCTGTAGTCTAAAATGGTGGCCATGAGTGAGGGTATATAAATCTTTAGCAGTGCCCACTTCACTGCAGTGTTACCAGATCGTCCATCAGGGACACTAGTGTAGATACTATCCGCAAGGAGAACGCACATTGTAAATATCAACGCGAACGTGTATGAAAGTCGGTTAAAGCTCAGCGACAGTTAATAAAACGAGGCCTTGCTTCTTTGTGATAGAAAGAAAGATAAATCATTCCAGGAGTGTCTGTCCTTCCCGGTTATCAGTAAAAATAAAATACAATTTCTTATATAAAGTTTAATTTTGTGTTAAATTCATCTCGCTCATTAACCACCTAATGTAGGATCAGTATCCACAAACTACAAAACTCAGGCACGTGATACTTCACACCTACTTACTTAAATATATAATGATCTCGAATAGCGTGAAGGTAGAAGATAGAAGACGTGAAATCTTGTTTTAAAATCTGATTGGCTAATTCAAATAGTAACTTTTAAGGAAGTGGGTGATTATTCGTACAAAAACAAGTCGAAAATATAGAACAAAATTTTTGTGTACGACCTTCAGTTATCGAGAAACATAATTTTGAAAATCTGCGGGATGCGATACACGTGATGGAAGGGGGCTACGAGCCAAACAAAGTTGAGAAACACTGTACAAAAGGACTTATCGTTAATAAATATTTTGATTTTCATATATATGAACTTATATGAACACCGATTGTTAATCGATAATTTGCTCTCTAAGTTAGGACTAGAGATTTTAATAGTTTCAAAATTCATCAATACATCGCTGACAACAGCGAACCTAATGACCACTTGTAAATTAAGCCCATGATCAAATTGTCTTCTAAAATCAACAGCCAATTAAAATACTATACATTCGGTATCGAATATAGTTTCATTGTAATAAATGACCTATTAATATTTAAATTGTTGAAGCCTATTAAAAAAGTAGATCAAAATTTCAAGTCCGTCGCAAATTTGTAACTTTGTTACTCCTTAGCACTCGTTAAAAAGTTAGAAATCTATATATACTGTTTTCAATGTTAATAAATTTATAGGTTATGACATTCACAGTACAAAATGTACATGGGAAGAGCGATTTTTAAATTTACGAAAAATTATAACGTTTCGTATTTCAACTTGATACAGCAACAACGAAATTTACATTCGTATCGTGCAGAAAAACATAACTTTCCTTTGTTAATTTTAACGAATATATCACAATACTCGAGCGACAGTCCGTTAAAATGTTGGAATTGTAATTTTACATATAAATCTGATCTATTTTGCTCTAAATGTAAAATCTTACAAAAACCACCCGAAAATGTAACTTATTTCGAAATAATGGGTATTCCGAAAAGTTACGATCTAACGGTGACAGACGTTCAAAGAAAATATAAAGAACTTCAAAAATTATTGCATCCTGACAAATTTAGTAATAAATCAGAGGCAAGTATATGAAATATTATGGAATTATACCTTTCCATATAAAGATTCATATTTTGTTATTCTGTTTTTCATAGAAAGAAAAGCAACTATCTGAAAATTTATCATCACTGGTAAATAATGCTTATAGTACATTGTCACATCCATTAAAAAGAGGGCTATATATGCTGGAATTAAATAACAGAACAATACCAGAAGAAACAGATAATATAAATGCAGAATTTTTAATGGAAATTATGGAAAAAAATGAGGAAATAGATGATGCATTAAATGATCACGAAAAAATAAGAAAGTTGATGCAAGAAAATGAAGTGGTGTTAAATAATTTGTCAATGTAATACTTCCTCTTAATTAAAGAGAAATATGGTAGTCCATGACATAAACTAATGCAGCTGTTCTTTTATGCAGGGAAATTGCAGATGCATTTCGGGAAAATGATGTCATAAAAGCAGAAACTCTTCTTATACGAATGAAGTATTATGATAGTATACATACTAGATTAAAGAACTTAAAACGTGATTTAGGTATAATAGAATGAATATAAATATTTTCAAGTGTACAAAGCATCTATAATATAATTGTATAAACATATGTGTAATATAAAATGTGTGCTATTATATAGCACTTTATTACCTACAAATTATCTTACATCTCTTATTGATATATCAACACTTTATATCATTACAATATGTTATATATATATATAAAACAAAAGCAGGGCAATATGTGATAAAAATAATGACTCATAACATTTAACTTATTCCTGTTGATTATCTATTTCCCATTGCTCAATCCATTCGCACATTCTATGTACATTTTCTCTGACTTGATTTAAATTATTACTTGCTAATTCATGAACTATTTCTTCTCTGTAAGCTGATCTTGCCTCCTCAAGGATAGTTTGAAATATTTCACAATCTATATTGTCTTCTAACTTTTTTCCTGTATAACCTCGTTCGATTAAACGATCATATAAGATTGTATTATCAGTTCTCAAGACAAACACAATGTCAAACCATCTCTCTGGGAAAAAATCGGCTCCATGGTAATCAACAATTTTTCCACCTTCGCACATAAGACTTTCCATGTGGTCTAATAACTATAATTTAAATGTGTAGTTTATTAATTAACATAGATTGTGAAACATGTGATTATGAAAACAATTACCTTATCTTCATCTAAAATAGGACATTGATATATTTCATCGTATTCTTCTAAACATTTGTTCTCAATAGCAAATTTACTAACATCAATCCATTCTAACCCTGTCATTTCTGATAAAAGACGGGACATTAAACTTTTTCCAACACCAGGTGTACCTATGATTAAAACATTGTTTGTTTAACCTAACATTATACTTAAACTACATTAACTATTAAAATTACAAATTACCTGTTATTAAAATGTTCGGAGAATTTCTATTCATGTTGATTGTCTCTGAATATTTGAGTTATACTTTTTATTGTCGGAGCTATTAAAATAAATCATGTATTGTAAACGTTGTTAACATGCTTTTGGAGGTTAACTACGATATTCATGTATTATGTGACACGAGGGTACACAATATTTTGGATTCAATAAAAAAGAAACGAAAAGAAAGCAACGTGTTAAATTTCGATAGATTAAAAATATTTAAAAAATGTTCCTGCACCTCAATTTATAATCAATAACCTTAACACACGTGTGATATGTTAACTAAATTCAATGTTAAAAATCGAAGGTTAAAGTTTTTTTTTTTTTATTGTTTTTAATTGTTTAATTAAATATCATACATACTATCTCCAGTGAGAAATTTGTACAAACAAAACCACATGCCTGTGACAGAACCTTATTAGTTCGCTATATTCTAACCAGGAATGTATCATAGATCTAACGTACATTGGGTCGTCAAAAGGGTATAGCCGAATAAGGGGGACAAATGTACCCTTGAACCAAATTTGAAATACTATGGATCCATCGATAGAGCATCAGAAAAAAAACATTCTGTGGCAAATTTCAACCCCTTATCTTGTTCGGAAGGGTAGTTATAGGGAAAACTTGGATTAGCGAATTTGTGCCTATTTCCCCTATTTAATCGAGTACGAAAATTATGAAAAAAATCTGGTGCATTGTGGTTATTGAGATACGTGTTTGAGAATTTTTTCCGATTTTTCGATTCCAATTCCTAAGTGTGAAAAATTAAAAACGCAGAAAAATACCGATTTCGTATTGAAGCTTTCGAGACACCAGATTTATATAATTACTGTAAATGCATATTGTTATTGGTCATGTCCCTGAATTTTTTCAGATTTTTTAGCAGGGTGCGCCGTAGTAGCAAAAATCAAAAACCGATTTTTTCGGCGTTTTTCGCGTGAAAGAGCAACTTATACTTTGAATTTTTGTATTCCCTTTAATGGATAACCATATTCTATGGTTTTAAACAATTCTATGTTGAGTGGAACGGTGTATAGAATAGAAAAACAAAAATAAATCATCAAATTAAAGGTATCAGCATTATTTGCAAGAGGTGTAATAGTGTAGTGAGTAGGATGCTTGATTGCGGATACGCTGCAAACTTTTTGACGCTGGTTCGCGCGCCCCGTTTAAAACACATCTTTTTTTTATTTTATTAATTATATATATATTATAGCACCTTTAATTTGATGACTTATTAAATTTGGTTCACGGCCCCCCTCATTCGGCTATATCCTTTATTTTAAATATACTTTTATTTGTATTAATTAATGTGATAATTTTATATAATTTTTATTGAATCTGTAGTATTTGGGGCGTAACACCACGCTATTTGGCTCTTGTGAAGCTTATCGCAAGTCACGTGGTTTTGTTTACCCATAGTTTTCCGCTGGACGAAATATAGATTAATTATTTTGAAATGTATATTTTTAGAAATACATAACACTGTCTTATCGTGTCCAAGGTGTACAACATTATTATTTGTAGATACTGCTTAAAACTATTTCGTCAAAATTACTTTGCCTTTATTTGTAAAACTATAAATAAAACTAACTGTCGAAGGTCTATATTTTCAACATACTTCGTGGACATTGATGCAACGTAACACGTGTTGGGTCGAGTACGTTTATTTAAAGAGAGAGAAGACGTAGTAGTTTCATCAGAAACACGGAATTTTCGTCACTGATTCGTAAGGTCAATTTATCATTAGTATTAAATTTTTAAGCATATCGAGCGCGTGTACAGTTACAACGACAGTGAAATATTATGATAAATAAATAATCACCAAGAATCCCTGTTGTGGTATTTCAGGAACAATCGCTCACGGCACGACCTGGTACGACAAGAATGAGCTGGCATAATTCGTTGTACTCATTATTTCAAAGCAATCGTTTTTCAATATTTAGTATATTTTACAATGGTGCCGTTTGCTTTGTTTCTGTTTACTGATTATTTCGATCGTCATGTAAACTACCAGTCCTGTTTCTCAACACGATTTACCTAACCTGCGTTATTATGATTTATAACCTAATTAATACCCATAACATATTGTTATCTAGTTCCATTACGAAATGAAATCAGTTATTATACATGTGAACATATATTTTAATAATATAATGCAACAAATCATATATGCATAATATTATCGAAATTTGCTTGTTTTAATGTTTTGCTTCAGTTTCTACATTGAAGAAACAAACAAACAAAGTACTTAAAGTGGATAGATTAGATAGGTACACATTCGTCTGTTTAGAATATTCCTTTGGAATTGATGCTTTTAAACTCGATGTTATTGTAAACTTTTAATAATAATTAATACTTAATCATTTAAGTACATACAGTTGGCATTCAAATCGATAATTTATTAACGATAGATTTTCTGTATAATTTCAGACGAGAGTAACAGATACAATTGGTACAAAATCTATATACCAAAGAGGAAACGAGATAGCATAGCAAAAGTTTCACAAAAAAAAAAACACAATTGATCATAAAAGATTTAAGTATTGCAACGGTGCAGAAGGGCTCTATGTGCGCCACATCAGTTTCAGCAAATGGTACTTTAGTTTTCAAGAATATTGTGTCAAGGCATCAAAGACGGAATTCATTTACAAATTGTAACCTTGGTATACGACAAAGGCAACATGCGCAACGAAATCACTGCAGCAGTACTATTCTTAGTACAGCTGATAGAAAAAAACGAAAAATTTAGTCCTGATCAATTGGAATGTTTTAAACGACGTTTGGTCGAATTATTGACGGAACGTTTTAAAAATCATTGGTTTCCTGACAAACCATTCAAAGGTCAAGGTTATCGTTGTATTCGTGTAAATGGTCACAATCGGAGGGATGCAACTTTGGAGAGTGCTGCTACTGCTGCTGGAGTTAAATATGAAGATTTGTCGTTACCAGTAGAATTAACACTCTGGGTCGATCCTAACGAAGTTTGCTGTAGATTTGGGGAAAGTAAGGGGTCCTATTGCACATTGGCATCATTTGACGATAAAGAAAATACTGTACCAATTTTCCATGGAAGTGAAGAACGTGAAAATAAACAATCTGAGGGGCTGACTAAGATACAGGTTATTATATTATTATGTACATATTTGCCTAATATAATATATATTTAATTTATATTAATATTTTCTCGATTTTACAAGAAATTTTTATGAAATTTTGCAGTTTTGTAGAATGTCTAAAAATGAGGGATATATGTATGTTTTTAAAAATGAAAAAAAGAAAATTCCCGAAAAGTCAATTCCAAGAATTGGCGGGGTAGCAATTGGTCAATTTCGAAGAGAAAATTTCGACCAATTTTTATGGCATCACTGTACCGGTATTTTTAAGATTCTTTAGAATTCTTGAAATTCGCAATACTTTCTATAATATTGCTAATAAAAAACTAGTTCGATTTGCAAGATATGTATATCTTCGAGAATACAATGACCATCAGATTCTTGAAATTCGATTTTTTTGAATTCGGATTATCGAAAGTATCGAAAAACCTGAAAGTATCGAGAGTCGCGGTATTTTTGGGATTCCGCATACCTCTAGTTATCGTAGCTAAAACGAACTATATATCCCTTATTTTTATTTTTAATTTTTAATCATTTTATAAATTTGCAATTTCATCAAAATGAAGAGGGGATGGGGCATTGGAAACATTCCTTATTAATTTGAAAAAATAATATAAATTATGTAAAGAAGTTAGAACATAGTTAAAATAACAAAGTCTATGTTATTTTTGTACAGAAATCCCCTTTGACCACCAATGCAGAACAAAAATCAAAACCATTAAGCTCTGCTAATCAAAATCAACAGCATAGTAATAATGGTACAGGTAGGAGGCGCAATTTGAATAGCCCTAGGCTACACATTAATAGAAATCGTTCGTGGTTCGGTCCCTCCTTCAGTATGGGTTATGGTCCTCATCCAATAAGTCAACCGTGGTATAACATTATGCCTCCTCACTTTTTGGGTGGTCCGTCCCCACCGCCTTTTATAGGTCACCGAGGAAATAAGTGGATTCATCCACCTTCCTATCCTACAGGACCCGCCCGTTTCCACCATTGGTCCCCTAAAGCTGCTCTTAAAGTATAAACAAACCCTCTTTACGAAAGTAGTTAAAAAATCTGTTCCTTTGTATACAAAAAATAATATAAAATTAATACTGTTTGAGGCTTCCGTATGTAAGCTGTGTCCTTGGAGGAAATTGTTTTGACGATTCGCTAACATTGCAGCTAGCACATTGATATTGATTTGTGATTTGATCCTTGATGAAGCTAACTGTAATGTCGGCGAAACGTCGGAACAATTTCGTCCAAGAATACAGCTTAAACCTGGAAGTCTTAATCAGTATTAACTGTTAGAAACTGAGCTGTGAAAGCCTGAAATATCTTATAAAGTATAAAATTGTTTTGTCGATTTAAAAATTTTATAATTCAGTCTAAAAATTAGTAGTAATAATGAGAAAATGTGGTAATAGTAATAGTAATGTATTATTGTTTGCATTCGATTTTTTAAAAATTGAATATGAACGTTTTTATATTAGGAACAGATTTATTAACGTTTCAGTGACGAAACTTATCCATTTTGTAATTACAAATGACCTTGTTCGAATTACGACTAAGGCTTACGATTTTTTATGATGAGAAATGTTGCATTATTACATGTTATATATAAATAATTAATTGGATGATAGATGTTTAATTCCGGATGCAAGGTTGCTTGTAAAATATTAGATTAGTGAGAATTTACCTAGAAAGGATTGTCATTGATGTGTGAGACATAAAAATGAATGTTATATCACTTGTGACACTTTTTCCCCATTAATCCTTAAGGAAAGGATTTAGTAATATATAGATCGTATATATTTCAAAAGGGAGCAGTATTGATTTTAAGCGGGTTTCCAAAATTAAATACAATTGCTCATTAAATTATATGTAACAAATTTTAATGCCTTTATAGGCGATCTCAGTTCATTAGTAAATATTTCATATATCAAATTCTATCATGTAATAGAAAGAAAGAGTTTCAAATAACTTTTTCTTTGATGTATATATAAAACGTATTCATAACGACTAGAGCTTCAAAATTCACTTCATTTTTCAATATTGTTATAGAACAGTGCAGAGACAGAGAATTTAGCCATTTAATCTGCTAATTTATTAAAATAATGATATGCTACAACAATGTTGATAAACCATGTATACTTTGAAGTTCTAGTAACAGTGATTTGAAAATGATGTTTGATTAGTTCAAATCAATAATTTTGTCTTTTATTTTGTACATGTGTATTATTATATTACATTAACGAATAGGGAAACGATATCATATTTAATTTCACAGGTTTGTGGTGCAGAAAAATTTATAATATTTTTGCTTCAAAAAGCATACCATACCTGTTACATGAACATACTGCCTCTATAGAAATTCTGTTAATAATCAGTTATAGTAGAACGTTACTAAAAAAAATATATGGATTCCATGGTTAATGTGCAGTTATAAAAATTAAATCTTTATTTTAATTATGCTCAACGTGAAGATAAATTGAGCTTATGTTTTTAAGTGAAACTAATGAAACTTAGCATTTAAGAATATATATCATTGATGTTGGTAGATCTATAGCACATTGGAGTTCAAACTTTAATTCTGTCGTACTAATGCTACTGTCATGTACATTCAATTTTGTATATTGTAGACAATTTATAACACCATAGTAATTTATACCTACTTAAACCATTTCCTCCTGCTTTGTTAACACACACGTACGCGCCTTATCTTTATTCTGGATTTATCTATGTCTGAAGGTTTCAAAAATCAAGTAATACAAATAAGATTTTTTGATTGCAATTTTATACAGTATTTAAAGTGTTACAAGTTAGTTCTTTAGTAATTTTGTACATCGTTATTTATCTTTGATCACTATTCAAAGATATACTTTGTGTGAATATATGTATCACAGTTAGCAATTAAACAATCATTCTTCTTTAACTATTGTATTTAAATAATCTGCATTACTTGTTTTCTGAACTCTTTGGTCATGTGATATGAATGTTTTAGTATTGTTAGTGCCTAAAATGTGCAATTTCTTTAATTTATATTGTAACATAGGCTCGCTCATAAAAGTAACTATCGCCTTATACACGTGAAAATTTAACGTGAGAGTTACTTTTAAGAATTACGTTCGTACAAGTATGTTATTGGTTTATTGGCGCAAAAGATATTCATTCTTATGAAAGGTATGCAGTTATTTTAATGACACATAATTAATTTGTTTGGTTTAAATATTTTAAGAATTTTTGATCGATGTTCCAAAGCATTGAAATTAATAACAAAGTGAAGAATTTGTATTGAATGGCATAAGTGTTACCATCTGTTACATATATTTATATATATATACTGTGAGTTTTAACTAACTCTAATGCAAATTGGAATATTGTTGTCACTAGGTACACTTAGTGTCTTTAGATAAATTTCTAAAACTATAGCCAGGTACAGCATAAATATTATTGAACAGACTATATTAAAGAAAATTTTAATCAAATATGTAGTGTAAATTTGCAATTTTCATGTTTCACGTTTAGCATTATTTAATGTATGCATGAAATTTGCTCTATTATAAGTAATTTTTGTGTTCAATTTGTTAAAACTTATTCAGGAGTCATTTTGTTACGAAAGATGAAAATTCTATATGAATATAGATATTATAGTGTATATGTAGATTTAAGCAATGTTGCATTCGGACATATTCTTTTATTAATATATATGATGCTCAACATTTGAAATGTTCCAAACTTTTTAATTGTGTTCATGTATAAAAAAAAGAAAGAAAGAAATACTTTATGCTCCATACAATAACATTTTCAAGCGATAAGAAATGTTCAGGAACAATTTTTTTATAAGGAATCTACATTCGAATAATATGTGATAAAATACATAGTATTTAATGAATATCTGCATATTTGGTGAAAAAAATTACATAAATTTCAAGCAAAAAGTATATTCTCTTTTATATAAAACATTCTTTTATACCTGAAATTTCTTAACTACATAATAGATAGACGTTAAAATTTATAAGTGAATATAGTGCTTTAGCACGAAAAATTAGTATCCTTTACATAGTTTTCAAAAAATGTAGGAAAATAGTTTACAAAATAAGAAAGAAGAAGAAATACAAGATTTTAATTCTTACTTAAAAAAATACTATTTTTTCTTTTTTATGACCAATATGTATACAAAATTTTAATACTGTATTGTTGTACATTCTCTTATTAAAGCTGTATTTTACAATCGTGTAAAAATACATTTTATTAAAAAAAAGCAAATTTGATATTAAGTGAAACTTTATACTAGATTGTCTTAACGTTTGGATCATTTCGATTGTAGGGTAAAGCACTATATAAGCGTATACATATATTCTACCACTGCTGTGTCATATGTTATAAGAATACTTCTTGCATAGTTATGCAACAATGACTATAATCCTGTTCTACAACCATACTGATCTTCGCATTTTTTCATAACTTCAAATATATATCTCTGTTCAGTACTTTGTTTCGTGTTATCCAATAAAAGATATATTACACATTCAAGCAAAATATTTATAGATTATTAATTGTACGACCTCTTTACTTTTAGTATTAGAATCAAAATTTATGAACTTATCGATAACGTAATTATAAATCAAATTTTATGACGTATTACGACGATTCATACCTGTACTAAAAATCAAAGAAATCATAATAAAACTGTATTATTGGTGAATCAAAAATTAATGATTATTATATCATAATATATATATTTTTTATTCAATAAATTTGTTTATTCTCGCATTTATTTTTTTAAATTATACGAAATAGAAAGGCAAAATTATAATATATTTCGTGCATTGATGTTTTATAGTTTGTATCATTACACAGAGGTATTACATTGAGAGATAAAAGTGCTCTAAAGTTCAAATGGCAACTTTTTCGTAATTCACTTTTCATTCATTTACGACTTATGTTCATTTTAATTTGAAATCATTCCCTGCATTTGCTTGATAAGTGGAACGCAATCTTACGAAGGTGAACAATTTTCCAAGTATTAAATACACATTGTGAACTTATAATTATTGTTGTATTAACATCATTAACAGTTTTATGATTACCAGCATTATGTATGGGATATAACAAATACTTAATAAATATTTCTGCAAATCAAGATCTATCGATTACTTTTCAATGTACTTACCTCTCGACTGTTCTTTACAAATGGAGATCAATACGAAGTAAATTAATGTTAAATTATTTTAATTACAAAACTTGCGTTAATTCCTATCGTGTTTTTGCCGCGCAAAGTTGATAGATATCGCGATAATACGTCGATGTCCAATAAGATGTGCAATCATTCTCCTATGTGATTTCATTGGTCATGCTCGTGTATTGTGTTAAGTACGATTTTCATTATTGAAATTTTATATTCAAACTCGATTTTTTCATTCAACAAATGCTTTTTTTTTCCTTCGCGTGATTGTATGACACATCATGGAAAATCGTGAAAGTAATATACTGTGACCTCGGTAGTTGTTAAAAAGGGTCCGCAATAGAACGTGAACGTTGACGACCGAGTGGCTTAGACGAGTTACCTATATAGATGTGTGGCAAACGACAGGGAAATTTTCAATCCGTCGTTTCATAGGTTTTTATCGCACATATTTCGAAATTTTTATTGAAGGCGTTATCGCGTACATTGTCTTCGTCGCCGACGATGCTACGAAAAGATAAATTGCGCTGAAATGTGCACAAACTGTCCATATTTCTATACGAAGCGAACGATAGGGTTATGAGGCTCCAATTTCGAAGTCTCGCTATTCGTCAATATTTTTGCACTGTTTATAATATAATTTCTGCAGTACACGATGGCTGAAAAATGTAAGGTACGTACGTTACAATCAAACGAGTATAGTACGGAAGTAAGGAGTATATTTGAATAAAAAATTAAAATATTAGAAACTGAGTAATAAAGATCAAAAATGGTTTGTTTAACCAATGAAACAATAGAATAAAAGACGTCAGAATGTAAACATATTGTAACTATTAATTGATCTTTAATCTTTTGCAATAGGCTGAAATTGCATTTTCTACCATACGTAACAGATAGTATTACTTTTGTTTTAGGAATGTGGGTGTAAATGTGCAAACTGCACACATAATAATCAACAGCATAATGACATGCATTTACATGTAGAAATAGAAAATTTGCGCCAACACCTGATGGAAAGGGATAATCATATTGCTACAATGGAGACACAATTCCTCAACGAGGCTGATAAGTTTCCAAATGGAGAACTGGCTTCGATGAAGGAAGAGCTTCTAATATGGCAGGAAAAGTATTCAAGATTACACGATGCTCACAAACGTGTTCAGAAAGTAAATCAAAATCTGGAGGATAAATTATTGAGGATCGTAGATAAATGCGAAACAGAGAAAAGTGCATTTACCAAGGATATTGCAACTTTATCTCACAGATTGGCTGATGCGAATTACACTATACATCGTTTAACGCAAGATAATGTATGTTTAAAATATAAAAAATTATTTTCCCTGACTGAATCATGGATAAAACTCATTTCGAAAACCTATTAAAAAACGATATGTTTTATTTCAGGAAAATTACAGAAATGATGTGAATTTGGCGATACAACTTCTTCACTGTAAACCTTCCAATTTTGTTGGTCAAAAATATGATTCTGTAAGTAGTTTATATTGATAGTAAGTCCTCGAGTTCTGCATACCTAGGAATCTGTATAACTTCAGGACTTGCTATATTTGATCTTGTTGTATTACATGAATTATTCTAACAGTAATTACTTTTTTCCAGTTACCTACTGAAGTACAGGCTAAAGTTAGAACATACGTTGCGCAAAAAAAGCGTACGAATGATGCTCCTCCCGATGTTAAAAGTATTACAGTACCAATTTCAACGTTTCCACCGACAGCTATGGTGTATAATGTAACTAAGCCTGCACTTGACAAACTTAGCGACGATGATAGCGATGATTCTAAGCCACCGGTAGACGTTGTCTCTGCCGCAATAATGGCCAAAGTGTTAGAAGACCGAGAAAAAGAACGAATATTTTCAAAGCATTGTGATACATGTACTTGTCATAGGAGCATTTTGATGGTCGATGCTGAAACTCAAACTAACGCGGAAGACGTCTTTTCTTGTAACGATTGTGCTTTGAAATACGCGCAAAGCGTAGAGAAATATTCAGATAGCTTGAAAAATACTGACACAACTAGCCAAAACAAGGAAAGTCAACACTCTATGTTACACATAACTTATCACGAGGTAAATGAAAATGTTAGTAATAATAAAATGCAATATCAGAGCAATTGTACAAAGACTACTAGCAGTCATAATTTATGCACAAAAGATAAGTTTGTAAGTAGAAATGGTAATGTTGTAGAAAGTGTAAAGGAAGATGGTCGTGTAAATCCCAATACGAAAGCTAGTTTAAATAAAAAGAACTCGTTGCGTCGTGGCGATTTGCAGATTCAAAGCGTGTTTCAAAATCAGAGCGCAAACACGACGAAACAGATAATGCCTCAAAAGATAAGTAATATGTGTACTAATAACAAAATGAACTCTGACAAGGGAAAACAGGTGAAACCGTATAAAAAATGCGAATCACAAATCGATGGTACATTTAATTCGAATCATTGGAAGAACTTAGAAAAGAAATCCTCTAACCATAGTCATATAGTTCCTGAAAATTCCAACAGTTATTTCGACGGAAAAGAGCAAAGTCCCATTGACATAATTAATGATAGACTGTGGAAAAACGAATGGACGAAATTGAAATCACAAACCAACAAGGACAGTAAAAATATAAACAAAGTATATAGCGATATCGAAATTGATATTATTAACGACAGAGTTTGGAAGAATGATAAGTCAACGGAGGAAATCCATCTGCCAGCACAGTTAACTTTAATAGAAGTGAAAAACATAGATAACAATTCAAACCAAAATGATCCTAGACAAATGGAAGTTGCCACTAGTCCAAGTTTTAGTAGCGATAGTATAGTAATTTCAACTTCCGATCCCTCCAGCAGCTCCAGCGATGTTGTTCAGTCTCTCAGCGGAACGAATTTGCACAACGTCGTCAATTCAAAGCCCAGCAACCAAAATCGAATAACTGGTCCAAGAAATTGCCTCGTGAGAGTCACGCCAGGATCAAAAAATATTCTTCTAGATAATGCTGGACATTATAAAACTGTATTGTACACTAGCGGAAGTAACAAACAAAATACTGGTTTGATACAGTCGAAAGAATTATCTCGATCCGGATCGGAAAGATCAATTTCAACCAGTAGCGAGGAAAGCTCCCCGGTTTTGCTGCATGACAATAATCAATTACAAAGAGTAGCCGAATGGGTTCAGTCGTCTGTACACATGGACAATTCTGTGTCAGGTTACACGAAATTGAAGCCTAACGAAACCATAACGAACAAGAGATCTTTATTGTATTCAAACGAGTCGCAAACAAAGTCCAAACCGTTCGAAGACGCTGCGAGGTTGCATGAGAATACTCAAGAGAAAAAGTGCGAAAATTTAGTAGTAAACGTTCACGAACCCGGCGAGGAAAATTTAAATAATGATGTAAATAATTTTTCAGCAAATGTAAATAATGTTGAGCCAGAGAAAGAAAAAGATTTAATATCTTTCGACATTTCAAACGAGGAGGAGAAGGACGTGTCCAAAGCTTCCAACAAAATGGATAACGCAGATTTTAACTATGAAGTTAAAATCACTAAAGAAATGGAAGAGACTTACCTAAAGCTAGCCGCAAGTTTAGACCATGCCACGTTAAACATACCGCGTACAGATAGTGCAGATTTAACAATTGAAAAGTATAGAAAAGATCATAAAAGACTTCAGAGGAGCCTCGAGAAGGCGGGATCAAAAATGTAAAGTATTTCAGCAAATATTTCAGAAAATTATTAGTACTATCACAGCAGGGAGTTCCTTTAAAGATAACAGAGCGTTATTTTTTGTAACTATATGAAACTAAGGCTGTACCAAGATCAGTAGCTTAGGAGAAAACATTCTATACACCACTGCAGACATAGAATTATATTTATTTAATTTGTATAGTTAATGTTAGCATTGCAGCTTTATTACCTGATGAATGAGATTCGGTTGTGTGGCAGTCGTAAAATGTTGCTGAGATATATATATATATAACTATTTAGCAATTACAATGGACAGTTCTCTTACAGCTGATATGTGTAATCGGATGAACAGAATCTTGAAATTCTTTAAATATTTATTAAATTCTTTCGGTGTATAAACTATATGGAGCCACTTTACAAACGATATGAGAGATATTGTAATTTTATTTTAATTTCGTTGACTCTATGTAGTATTTTATAGAGCCATTCTATGTCGAAAAATAGCCCGATTAAATTAGACGACGAAACTTTTATTCTTGTTACTGCGATTAAATATTATAGAACGAATTACGTTCGTTTGTATTGAAACGTGACAATATTTAAGATTCGTTGTCAGATGTCAGCAGCTATGTTCTGGATGCGATATATTGGCGCGTGCTACTTCCAATGATTAGGGCCACGCAGCAAAGTGTTTGCATTGCAAAACAAGATCCCTCGAACTCATTTGATACGAGAAACATTGATAATCGTATCGACAGCGTTAACGTGTAAAATTCGAAAAATTTTATTTGACGATTGCGTCGCATACGTAGTGATAGAACGAATAACATATATTTTCCTTGCGTGCTCGAAACGATATGACAGAATATAGCGGTGACAATATTATAGTTGAGCTAATTATTAAGGTGTATCTGTGAAGCAACGTTTTAAGGAACTTCGTTGCATACGCGCAAGCAGAATATTTATGGGGGAAAATCTATAACAGAAATTTTTTTTGAAAGGATCATTATATGTGTTAAAGAGTAATCATGGTACCAAAGTTGAAAGCAATCGTTGCAAGTTAATACGTTTAGTACTTATTTAATTGTCCGCTTAAATCAGTGTATCATAGTATAATTATCGTCCGTTTTCTTTTGCACGTCTCCCTATATGCGTTTTTGTTTCTCGAAGAGCACATGTGATTTCTGTAAAAATAAAAAAAGAGGAAATAAGAATGTGCTGCATGTATGTAATTAGGCAATGCCCATTGGAAATGGATCTTTGCCTGATCTTTAATTAGTCGGTCTAAACTGATAGAGAAAGGTGAGAATTACTAACTTTCGTTTGCATGAAAAGTAAAAATTCAAAACTATATTTTAATAAATTACAGTGATTCCTACTTTTGAGTGACAAAATCACAGCCTCGTGTAAAACTTTAAAGTTGAAGTGAAGTGTTATCAACAGATTGGCGTGATTTTTACGACGAAAATTAGTTCAAACACAACTATAATTATACGTTATTCGAATTATTTCTGAAAAATAGTCTGTACGAAGTCGTGTTTGAATTTATTTTCAAGGGGAAAACCTCACTAATTCATTAATAATACTTACAGAGATATAAAAATTTTTATCAGAGTAAATTGATCTTGTCAGCCGAGAATTATAAAAAATTGTCACTTGAAAATTGGAAAATACTGTATTACAAACAATTAGTGTAAGTCTATTTATTGTTTGTAATTTTTTCGATGATTTTATTTGAAGGCAAGAGCGCTTATTAATCGATCAGGATTATACTTAGCGATTTTTTGAGCGCGTAGTGAATTGTCGGGGCGATAGAGATAAACCAGTGCTGTTTATACGGTTCTGTCCCTCTTTACATGTCATATTACATTTGTACGGGGTGCGAACCATAACGCAACGTCATTAACGTTCCATTCCTATGTTAACGGAAACGATTAGGGGAATATCTCTAAATTCCGTAGCTTACGTTCGACAGCGCTGCGTTAAATAACATTGCTGATCTTGCAGTCTATGCTTGTAACCTGTTTCATCAAGATACTTCAAACTCTAAAATATTGCGTTTCGATGCATGCTGCAAGAAGTGCAAATAAGCATTGTTCCCCGATTTCGAATACGCGCGATAGAAAGTTCCGCGTTACGCGAGTGTTACAATGGCGCGGTGAATCGAACCAGGACGTGTGTTAGAAATTAATTACAAATACGTGTAAATACATATTATATACGCATACGCATATATAAACAATAATAGCAAATCGCTGGAGATACAAACACGTGCAGAATGTTGTCTTACGTTCAAGATGCGGATGAAAATCGGAAAGATCGTGGTACTTTTAGGCTGTTTAGTATCCAAAACTAACTGATTTTTATAGCATCGTTAAGTGTAAGACGTTTTTTAAATTAACAATCATTGAGGAGGTAGTCTGGCCTGGAAAACGCTTTAGGCTTTCTTTGAGTATTAATTAAAAAATGGATCGTTAGACCTGTCGATCTCAAATTTTGTACACATATTCGTGCATATTTCGGGCGCTTAAATATTTTATTTTAAGCATTTATGTACTATTGCGTTGAAGGACAGAAGAAAAAGTTGTTTGATCTCCAGAATCAAAAACAGCAAATAGATCGTGATTATAATATGATTGCGGCTATCGTGTGAACTAAGATTTTTAAAAAAATAATCAAAATTGCAAAATTGCCGTCCTCGCAAAAACGTGAAATTTTTGACAGAAATTTTAGCCTTTATTATGCAATAACAATTAAAAGTTTTTAACGCGTAAAGTTGATCCTAGTTCATACGATACACGGACTTGAACTATATATGTGTGCAACGTTTCAAGTCAATTGGTTAATTGAATCTTAAGATATAGTGGACGCCAGTTTAAAAAAAATGTTATTTCAAGAAAAAACTGCTTCGAAGTTTGATACAGTCGAGAGGCGTATAAGATGTAACTTAGTTTAATCGACCTGTGCGAGGTCACATTTTTCGAATTTTGGAAATTCGAACTCGACAACGTGTATTCTGGATATATAAAAGTTTAAGAAAACGTAAAGGGAAAATTGATGTTTTCTGAGATCTAGACCAGACTATCCTCGTAATTAAAGAGGTATATGAGTCACCGGTATATCGATGAGCAAGTTATAAGTATACAGGGTGTAAGAAAATATTTGTCATGGCTTCAACAGATGAATCTATACGTTTTAATTGGTAAAGATTTCTAAAACAAACTAAATTCAAACTCCAAAGGTTACTTGTTTGTTTCTTGCTTCATTTTACAATACAAACTAGGCTCTTCAGTATTGGTATACGTATATCAGTGATTTCTTTAAAGAAGAGAGATTTCTGCGCTCGAGATTTATAATTAAAATATTTTTGTTATATTTATTTTAACTAATTCAAAATTAAGCTTTTATTGATTTAATTCTTCACTCTTTGATACGAAATTATTCAATACATTGAATCTCAAGTTAGTGTTTCATGTCTATGGATATCCTTAACATTTGCTCAGACTATAGCGCGAGAAATAAAAATATTTAATAGTTTGTTAGTGTATTCAGGCCTGGCCTAGGTATTTTGGCGCTCAGGGCAACGACGGAACACGACGCCCTTCGTTTAAAAACGTTGATCTCGAATTTTCACCCTGAGAAAATTTCTGCCCTCGAAATAAGTGGTAGGTTTAAACGATACAAGATAAATATACTTCTACAATTGATAAGATTCCATTGTTACATCGTTAGGTACTTCGAGGCCTTGTCATTTTCTCCAGCTTGTATCTTTAAGACAAATGTATCGATTTGAAAGTATTTTTTTTTTTTTTTTGTTTAAATCGATATATTTTTCAAAATACAGAAGACTGTATAAGTGAGAAGTGTAAAAGTTATTTAATAACGAGGGAAACGCGAGTTTTAAAAACGAGCAGGATCTTTTAGACTTCCACGAGATAGCTGAGGGTTGTTAGAAATAAATGTTTAAGTTATCCACATACTCTTCGTCTCTCTCGTATTGTAAGACGTTCCCCAGTTTGGAAAATACTGGATTCACCTGTGAAAACTGTGACGAATATCCGTTTAGAATAATCCGCGAAGTATATATTCCCGTCACTTTCAATATGCTTCAGACAAAATGGCGCCCTCCGAGTCTGCAAAAGTATCGACAAATGGAGATCGCTAACGGCATGGGCAAAGCAAATTTCACATTCGAAACTCAAATAAGAATAATCGAAGTTACTAAATTTCGACGATAGCGAATAAATTGTAAAATTTGATTTTTGCGCGACGTTGGTAGAGGTTTACCAAGAGTTTTATCGATCCGATTATCAAAGATTGATGTCCCTGCGGTTTTACTCGCATACCGCGTGTCTCGCTTCGATTCGTTTCGTAAATGACTCGTGCTTCGATCCTGAAACAACTGGAAGAAAGAACGGGATCTCTGACTTTCCGAACTACCTCGTTGCATTCCTTAGTCTTTGATAAAGAAGAAGATACGACCAAGTTCTCTGGATTTCCCAAGCGCGGGGGAACGATTTCGCGTTAATACGCGTTAATCTTGTTAATTAATCGAGAACGGATCGATCGCTTTGGATTCGAGCATGGCACGAGTACACGTGTAACAGTTACCCATTTAAGTCAGGTGTACCATATGTAACGCGACGGTGATTATTATGTAAACTGTACATATACAACCGAATAAAATGTGTTTAAAAGGTGACGCTGCAGTATTTTATTCCACGTATGATTTTATACAAAGCTGAGTGTTATATGAATAAATGGAATCTTAGACTATGTTTAAAGCATTTATATGTTATGTTACAGTCAATTGCATAAAATCGCAGTGGATAAAAATAGAATGATTAATGGAAAAGATTCTGCTTAGAATAATATTGCAATGAAGATTATAGAAATAAAATTATATTCCAATGATTTTTTTAAGATAAAAAATAAAGTGTATGCCACTCGTGAATGAAGAAAAGGAATTCTTCACAAAAAGACTGCTTATTAGAATGTTATTCTAAGATTTATAGGAATAAAACTGTATTCCAATGATTTTACTAAAGTAAAAAATAAACTGTGTATCATTTATAAACAAAGAACAGGGATTCTCAACAAAAAGACTCTGCTTATTGGAATAAGAGTCTACTAAAGTTTTATAGAAATAAAACTGAATTTCAATGACCATTCCAAAATAAAAAATGAACTATTTGCCATTTATAAATAAATAATTGGAACAAATTTTCTTTTGGCCTGAGAATAAAGTTGCTATTTTTTAAGAAAAAGGATTCATTTTTATTCTGATAAACTATTTAGAAATAGAATTCTTTTTACTTTTCATGCATTTATTATAGACTTATAAAGTGTATAAATTTCCAAATTTGTAGAACTTTCTGTTGTAAAGTAAAATGTCAGAATTTCTAAATTCGTACAACTTTTCTGTTTCACAGCAGGGTTGGCGAACTGGCACCTCGCGAGCCAGTTATGGTTGTTTCCCCTACTTTCCGGTTCCGCTCAGGCGCAGAAGAACTTCCCCCTTTGCGCCTACTATGCAGAGCTGGGACGAAGGCTCGCTGAGAACCTAACTAGGTAGTATGAAATCTGACGGGCTCTCTGATAGTGGAAGAGTCGGTTGACTGGTAGTGGGGACTCTTTTGGCTCTCTGTGGAGAAGTTAGTCACCCCTGCCACACACCACACACACTGCATGACCGAAACACACACACAACATTCAGAAATGCTACATACAAACCTCACAGACAACACAATATACCATACATCGCACGTATGTGAACACTTTACCTATCATACAATATACAATATAATAGTTTACACGGTATTTTTGTATTCGTCTTTTTTTCAACGTGTTTTTATTTATCTTTACACGATTTTCTTAAACACGTTTGCAAAAACGCGCACTAATTATTTAGCAGAAAATGTCACGAAAGTCATGCGTGTCCTGTACGAATATTTCAAATCTATCTTTTCTTCAATGTACTGTAGATACACTACAGGTGTGTTTCCTTTTCATTCTTTCATTTTTAACCTTTTCAGGGTCGATTTTTTTTTTTTTTTTGGGTCTACTATTTATTGACAGTAACTATAATTATAAAAAAGAAAATTAAACGTCCACCATATGTGGCTAAGAGTGTGAAGAGGTTAAACGTTTTTTTTATATGGTTTGACACAGGTATAATTATTTTCTGTTTCTCTTATTTGAATATTATCAAAAAAATAAAATACTTATTTCGAGTATGTACTGTATTTTCTGAATGTTATTTGCAAGACTTGTGCTCGGGACCTTTTTTGTTCAAATTAAAAATTTTAGTAAAAATACAATAGTATATTAGAATGCATATGTCAGTAATATCTTCTGGTATGGTCTATTTTCCTGGTCAAAGGGGTTTCTAATCTCAATTTGATCATGTCTATAGATAGACATATTATTAAAAATAATATTTGAATTGGTTTCTGGTACAGTTCGTCTTATTTATATCTAAATACACTGATCTTTTGTATTTTTGTACAATTAATTTTATGCATTACATAGCTATATTTTCCATTATTGCAGCATTTCTGTCAATTATTCTTGTATCGAAACACGATTTTGAAATTTAATTTACTGAAATTTTATCAAGTTGTATACACAGGATAGCGAGTACATACGTATAATCATTGTTATTATTATTATTGTAAATCTATAGTGCGCGTATTTTTATTTGTTTTCGACTATTTCTGTCAATTATTCTTGTATTAAAAAACGATTTTGAAATATAATTTACTGAAATTTTATCAAGTTGTACGTACAGGATAGCGAGTACATATAATCTTTGTTATTATTATTGTAAGTCTATAGTACGCGTATTTTTATTTGTTTTCGACTAAGGGCGGTAGTATTGCATTTTTACAGAA